TGTTGGTTCAATAGTTATGTTGGCAAAGTGTGTCGCCGAAGCCACTATGTTTTCTGCGTTTTTATCTATAAGCACCTTCATAGCTCAGTTGGTAGAGCACATGACTTTAAGAAGTTCCTGAAACGCTGTGGTCCAAAGGTCGCTGGTTCAACTCCAGCTCCAAGCATCCAGTTGTCATTTGTATATGCACTGTTCATCCTTTTTCATTGACCAGGTGGCTTGATTGTTGTTTTGGCAAAGTGTGTCGCCGAAGCCACTATGTTTTCTGCGTTTTCATCTATAAGCACCTTCATAGCTCAGTTGGTAGAGCACATGACTTTAAGAAGTTCCTGAAACGCTGTGGTCCAAAGGTCGCTGGTTCAACTCCAGCTCCAAGCATCCAGTTGTCATTTGTATATGCACTGTTCATCCTTTTTCATTGACCAGGTGGCTTGATTGTTGTTTTGGCAAAGTGTGTCGCCGAAGCCACTATGTTTTCTGCGTTTTTATCCATAAGCACCTTCATAGCTCAGTTGGTAGAGCACATGACTTTAAGAAGTTCCTGAAACGCTGTGGTCCAAAGGTCGCTGGTTCAACTCCAGCTCCAAGCATCCAGTTGTCATTTGTATATGCACTGTTCATCCTTTTTCATTGACCAGGTGGCTTGATTGTTGTTTTGGCAAAGTGTGTCGCCGAAGCCACTATGTTTTCTGCGTTTTTATCTATAAGCACCTTCATAGCTCAGTTGGTAGAGCACATGACTTTAAGAAGTTCCTGAAATGCTGTGGTCCAAAGGTCGCTGGTTCAACTCCTGCTCCAAACACCAGATTTCATTGATTTATGCACTGTTCAACCTTTTTCATTGACCAGGTGGCTTGATTGTTGTGTTGGCAAAGTGTGTCGCCGAAGCCACTATGTTTTCTGCGTTTTCATCTATAAGCACCTTCATAGCTCAGTTGGTAGAGCACATGACTGTAAGAAGTTCCTGAAACGCTGTGGTCCAAAGGTCCCTGGTTCAACTCCAGCTCCAAGCACCAGATTTCATTTGTATATGCACTGTTCATCCTTTTTCATTGACCAGGTGGCTTGATTGTTGTTTTGGCAAAGTGTGTCGCCGAAGCCACTATGTTTTCTGCGTTTTTATCTATAAGCACCTTCATAGCTCAGTTGGTAGAGCACATGACTTTAAGAAGTTCCTGAAACGCTGTGGTCCAAAGGTCGCTGGTTCAACTCCAGCTCCAAACACCAGATTTCATTTGTCTTAGCACTGTTCAACCTTTTTCATTGACCATGTGGGTCCAATTGTATTGTTGGCAAAGTGTGTCGCCGAAGCCACTATGTTTTCTGCGTTTTTATCTATAAGCACCTTCATAGCTCAGTTGGTAGAGCACATGACTTTAAGAAGTTCCTGAAACGCTGTGGTCCAAAGGTCGCTGGTTCAACTCCAGCTCCAAGCATCCAGTTGTCATTTGTATATGCACTGTTCATCCTTTTTCATTGACCAGGTGGCTTGATTGTTGTTTTGGCAAAGTGTGTCGCCGAAGCCACTATGTTTTCTGCGTTTTTATCTATAAGCACCTTCATAGCTCAGTTGGTAGAGCACATGACTTTAAGAAGTTCCTGAAACGCTGTGGTCCAAAGGTCGCTGGTTCAACTCCAGCTCCAAACACCAGATTTCATTTGTATATGCACTGTTCAACCTTTTTCATTGACCATGTTGGTTCAATAGTTATGTTGGCAAAGTGTGTCGCCGAAGCCACTATGTTTTCTGCGTTTTTATCTATAAGCACCTTCATAGCTCAGTTGGTAGAGCACATGACTTTAAGAGGTTCCTGAAACGCTGTGGTCCAAAGGTCGCTGGTTCAACTCCAGCTCCAAGCACCAGATTTCATTTGTATATGCACTGTTCATCCTTTTTCATTGACCAGGTGGCTTGATTGTTGTTTTGGCAAAGTGTGTCGCCGAAGCCACTATGTTTTCTGCGTTTTTATCTATAAGCACCTTCATAGCTCAGTTGGTAGAGCACATGACTTTAAGAAGTTCCTGAAACGCTTTGGTCCAAAGGTCGCTGGTTCAACTCCAGCTCCAAGCATCCAGTTGTCATTTGTATATGCACTGTTCATCCTTTTTCATTGACCAGGTGGCTTGATTGTTGTTTTGGCAAAGTGTGTCGCCGAAGCCACTATGTTTTCTGCGTTTTTATCTATAAGCACCTTCATAGCTCAGTTGGTAGAGCACATGACTTTAAGAAGTTCCTGAAATGCTGTGGTCCAAAGGTCGCTGGTTCAACTCCTGCTCCAAACACCAGATTTCATTTATTTATGCACTTTTCAACCTTTTTCATTGACCAGGTGGCTTGATTGTTGTGTTGGCAAAGTGTGTCGCCGAAGCCACTATGTTTTCTGCGTTTTCATCTATAAGCACCTTCATAGCTCAGTTGGTAGAGCACATGACTGTAAGAAGTTCCTGAAACGCTGTGGTCCAAAGGTCCCTGGTTCAACTCCAGCTCCAAGCACCAGATTTCATTTGTATATGCACTGTTCATCCTTTTTCATTGACCAGGCGGCTTGATTGTTGTTTTGGCAAAGTGTGTCGCCGAAGCCACTATGTTTTCTGCGTTTTTATCTATAAGCACCTTCATAGCTCAGTTGGTAGAGCACATGACTTTAAGAAGTTCCTGAAACGCTGTGGTCCAAAGGTCGCTGGTTCAACTCCAGCTCCAAAAACCCGATTTCATTTGTCTAAGCACTGTTCAACCTTTTTCATTGACCATGTGGGTCCAACTGTATTGTTGGCAAAGTGTGTCGCCGAAGCCACTATGTTTTCTGCGTTTTTATCTATAAGCACCTTCATAGCTCAGTTGGTAGAGCACATGACTTTAAGAAGTTCCTTAAACGCTGTGGTCCAAAGGACGCTGGTTCAACTCCAGCTCCAAACACCAGATTTCATTGGTGTATGCACTGTTCAACCTTTTTCATTGACCATGTTGGTTCAATAGTTATGTTGGCAAAGTGTGTCGCCGAAGCCACTATGTTTTCTGCGTTTTTATCTATAAGCACCTTCATAGCTCAGTTGGTAGAGCACATGACTTTAAGAAGTTCCTGAAACGCTGTGGTCCAAAGGTCGCTGGTTCAACTCCAGCTCCAAACACCAGATTTCATTTGTATATGCACTGTTCAACCTTTTTCATTGACCATGTTGGTTCAATAGTTATGTTGGCAAAGTGTGTCGCCGAAGCCACTATGTTTTCTGCGTTTTTATCTATAAGCACCTTCATAGCTCAGTTGGTAGAGCACATGACTTTAAGAAGTTCCTGAAACGCTGTGGTCCAAAGGTCGCTGGTTCAACTCCTGCTCCAAACACCAGATTTCATTGGTCTTAGCACTGTTCAACCTTTTTCATTGACTATGTGGGTCCAATTGTATTGTTGGCAAAGTGTGTCGCCGAAGCCACTATGTTTTCTGCGTTTGTGTCTATAAGCACCTTCATAGCTCAGTTGGTAGAGCACATGACTTTAAGAAGTTCCTGAAACACTGTGGTCCAAAGGACGCTGGTTCAACTCCTGCTCCAAACACCACATTTCATTGGTCTATGCACTGTTAAACCTTTTTCATTGACCATGTTGGTTCAATAGTTATGTTGGCAAAGTGTGTCGCCGAAGCCACTATGTTTTCTGCGTTTTTATCTATAAGCACCTTCATAGCTCAGTTGGTAGAGCACATGACTTTAAGAAGTTCCTGAAACGCTGTGGTCCAAAGGTTGCTGGTTCAACTCCAGCTCCAAACACCAGATTTCATTTGTATATGCACTGTTCAACCTTTTTCATTGACCATGTTGGTTCAATAGTTATGTTGGCAAAGTGTGTCGCCGAAGCCACTATGTTTTCTGCGTTTTTATCTATAAGCACCTTCATAGCTCAGTTGGTAGAGCACATGACTTTAAGAAGTTCCTGAAACGCTGTGGTCCAAAGGTCGCTGGTTCAACTCCAGCTCCAAGCATCCAGTTGTCATTTGTATATGCACTGTTCATCCTTTTTCATTGACCAGGTGGCTTGATTGTTGTTTTGGCAAAGTGTGTCGCCGAAGCCACTATGTTTTCTGCGTTTTTATCTATAAGCACCTTCATAGCTCAGTTGGTAGAGCACATGACTTTAAGAAGTTCCTGAAACGCTGTGGTCCAAAGGTCGCTGGTTCAACTCCAGCTCCAAGCATCCAGTTGTCATTTGTATATGCACTGTTCATCCTTTTTCATTGACCAGGTGGCTTGATTGTTGTTTTGGCAAAGTGTGTCGCCGAAGCCACTATGTTTTCTGCGTTTTTATCCATAAGCACCTTCATAGCTCAGTTGGTAGAGCACATGACTTTAAGAAGTTCCTGAAACGCTGTGGTCCAAAGGTCGCTGGTTCAACTCCAGCTCCAAGCATCCAGTTGTCATTTGTATATGCACTGTTCATCCTTTTTCATTGACCAGGTGGCTTGATTGTTGTTTTGGCAAAGTGTGTCGCCGAAGCCACTATGTTTTCTGCGTTTTTATCTATAAGCACCTTCATAGCTCAGTTGGTAGAGCACATGACTTTAAGAAGTTCCTGAAATGCTGTGGTCCAAAGGTCGCTGGTTCAACTCCTGCTCCAAACACCAGATTTCATTGATTTATGCACTGTTCAACCTTTTTCATTGACCAGGTGGCTTGATTGTTGTGTTGGCAAAGTGTGTCGCCGAAGCCACTATGTTTTCTGCGTTTTCATCTATAAGCACCTTCATAGCTCAGTTGGTAGAGCACATGACTGTAAGAAGTTCCTGAAACGCTGTGGTCCAAAGGTCCCTGGTTCAACTCCAGCTCCAAGCACCAGATTTCATTTGTATATGCACTGTTCATCCTTTTTCATTGACCAGGTGGCTTGATTGTTGTTTTGGCAAAGTGTGTCGCCGAAGCCACTATGTTTTCTGCGTTTTTATCTATAAGCACCTTCATAGCTCAGTTGGTAGAGCACATGACTTTAAGAAGTTCCTGAAACGCTGTGGTCCAAAGGTCGCTGGTTCAACTCCAGCTCCAAACACCAGATTTCATTTGTCTTAGCACTGTTCAACCTTTTTCATTGACCATGTGGGTCCAATTGTATTGTTGGCAAAGTGTGTCGCCGAAGCCACTATGTTTTCTGCGTTTTTATCTATAAGCACCTTCATAGCTCAGTTGGTAGAGCACATGACTTTAAGAAGTTCCTGAAACGCTGTGGTCCAAAGGTCGCTGGTTCAACTCCAGCTCCAAGCATCCAGTTGTCATTTGTATATGCACTGTTCATCCTTTTTCATTGACCAGGTGGCTTGATTGTTGTTTTGGCAAAGTGTGTCGCCGAAGCCACTATGTTTTCTGCGTTTTTATCTATAAGCACCTTCATAGCTCAGTTGGTAGAGCACATGACTTTAAGAAGTTCCTGAAACGCTGTGGTCCAAAGGTCGCTGGTTCAACTCCAGCTCCAAACACCAGATTTCATTTGTATATGCACTGTTCAACCTTTTTCATTGACCATGTTGGTTCAATAGTTATGTTGGCAAAGTGTGTCGCCGAAGCCACTATGTTTTCTGCGTTTTTATCTATAAGCACCTTCATAGCTCAGTTGGTAGAGCACATGACTTTAAGAGGTTCCTGAAACGCTGTGGTCCAAAGGTCGCTGGTTCAACTCCAGCTCCAAGCACCAGATTTCATTTGTATATGCACTGTTCATCCTTTTTCATTGACCAGGTGGCTTGATTGTTGTTTTGGCAAAGTGTGTCGCCGAAGCCACTATGTTTTCTGCGTTTTTATCTATAAGCACCTTCATAGCTCAGTTGGTAGAGCACATGACTTTAAGAAGTTCCTGAAACGCTGTGGTCCAAAGGTCGCTGGTTCAACTCCAGCTCCAAGCACCAGATTTCATTTGTATATGCACTGTTCATCCTTTTTCATTGACCAGGTGGCTTGATTGTTGTTTTGGCAAAGTGTGTCGCCGAAGCCACTATGTTTTCTGCGTTTTTATCTATAAGCACCTTCATAGCTCAGTTGGTAGAGCACATGTGTTTAAGAAGTTCCTGAAACGCTGTGGTCCAAAGGTCGCTGGTTCAACTCCAGCTCCAAGCACCAGATTTCATTTGTATATGCACTGTTCATCCTTTTTCATTGACCAGGTGGCTTGATTGTTGTTTTGGCAAAGTGTGTCGCCGAAGCCACTATGTTTTCTGCGTTTTTATCTATAAGCACCTTCATAGCTCAGTTGGTAGAGCACATGACTTTAAGAAGTTCCTGAAACGCTGTGGTCCAAAGGTCGCTGGTTCAACTCCAGCTCCAAACACCAGATTTCATTTGTCTTAGCACTGTTCAACCTTTTTCATTGACCATGTGGGTCCAATTGTATTGTTGGCAAAGTGTGTCGCCGAAGCCACTATGTTTTCTGCGTTTTTATCTATAAGCACCTTCATAGCTCAGTTGGTAGAGCACATGACTTTAAGAAGTTCCTGAAACGCTGTGGTCCAAAGGTCGCTGGTTCAACTCCAGCTCCAAGCATCCAGTTGTCATTTGTATATGCACTGTTCATCCTTTTTCATTGACCAGGTGGCTTGATTGTTGTTTTGGCAAAGTGTGTCGCCGAAGCCACTATGTTTTCTGCGTTTTTATCTATAAGCACCTTCATAGCTCAGTTGGTAGAGCACATGACTTTAAGAAGTTCCTGAAACGCTGTGGTCCAAAGGTCGCTGGTTCAACTCCAGCTGCAAACACCAGATTTCATTTGTATATGCACTGTTCAACCTTTTTCATTGACCATGTTGGTTCAATAGTTATGTTGGCAAAGTGTGTCGCCGAAGCCACTATGTTTTCTGCGTTTTAATCTATAAGCACCTTCATAGCTCAGTTGGTAGAGCACATGACTTTAAGAAGTTCCTGAAACGCTGTGGTCCAAAGGTCGCTGTTTCAACTCCAGCTCCAAACACCAGATTTCATTTGTATATGCACTGTTCAACCTTTTTCATTGACCATGTTGGTTCAATAGTTATGTTGGCAAAGTGTGTCGCCGAAGCCACTGTTTTCTGCGTTTTTATCTATAAGCACCTTCATAGCTCAGTTGGTAGAGCACATGACTTTAAGAAGTTCCTGAAACGCTGTGGTCCAAAGGACGCTGGTTCAACTCCTGCTCCAAACACCACATTTCATTGGTCTATGCACTGTTCAACCTTTTTCATTGACCATGTTGGTTCAATAGTTATGTTAGCAAAGTGTGTCGCCGAAGCCACTATGTTTTCTGCGTTTTTATCTATAAGCACCTTCATAGCTCAGTTGGTAGAGCACATGACTTTAAGAAGTTCCTTAAACGCTGTGGTCCAAAGGACGCTGGTTCAACTCCAGCTCCAAACACCACATTTCATTGGTGTATGCACTGTTCAACCTTTTTCATTGACCATGTGGGTCCAATTGTATTGTTGGCAAAGTGTGTCGCCGAAGCCACTATGTTTTCTGCGTTTTTATCTATAAGCACCTTCATAGCTCAGTTGGTAGAGCACATGACTTTAAGAAGTTCCTTAAACGCTTTGGTCCAAAGGACGCTGGTTCAACTCCAGCTCCAAACACCAGATTTCATTGGTGTATGCACTGTTCAACCTTTTTCATTGACCATGTTGGTTCAATAGTTATGTTGGCAAAGTGTGTCGCCGAAGCCACTATGTTTTCTGCGTTTTTATCTATAAGCACCTTCATAGCTCAGTTGGTAGAGCACATGACTTTAAGAAGTTCCTGAAACGCTGTGGTCCAAAGGACGCTGGTTCAACTCCAGCTCCAAACACCAGATTTCATTGGTGTATGCACTGTTCAACCTTTTTCATTGACCATGTGGGTCCAATTGTATTGTTGGCAAAGTGTGTCACCGAAGCCACTATGTTTTCTTCGTTTGTGTCTATAAGCACCTTCATAGCTCAGTTGGTAGAGCACATGACTTTAAGAAGTTCCTGAAACGCTGTGGTCCAAAGGTCGCTGGTTCAACTCCAGCTCCAAGCATCCAGTTGTCATTTGTATATGCACTGTTCATCCTTTTTCATTGACCAGGTGGCTTGATTGTTGTTTTGGCAAAGTGTGTCGCCAAAGCCACTATGTTTTCTGCGTTTGTGTCTATAAGCACCTTCATAGCTCAGTTGGTAGAGCACATGACTTTAAGAAGTTCCTGAAATGCTGTGGTCCAAAGGTCGCTGGTTCAACTCCTGCTCCAAACACCAGATTTCATTGATTTATGCACTGTTCAACCTTTTTCATTGACCAGGTGGCTTGATTGTTGTGTTGGCAAAGTGTGTCGCCGAAGCCACTATGTTTTCTGCGTTTTTATCTATAAGCACCTTCATAGCTCAGTTGGTAGAGCACATGACTTTAAGAAGTTCCTGAAACGCTGTGGTCCAAAGGTCGCTGGTTCAACTCCAGCTCCAAACACCAGATTTCATTTGTCTTAGCACTGTTCAACCTTTTTCATTGACCATGTGGGTCCAATTGTATTGTTGGCAAAGTGTGTCGCCGAAGCCACTATGTTTTCTGCGTTTTTATCTATAAGCACCTTCATAGCTCAGTTGGTAGAGCACATGACTTTAAGAAGTTCCTGAAACGCTGTGGTCCAAAGGTCGCTGGTTCAACTCCAGCTCCAAGCATCCAGTTGTCATTTGTATATGCACTGTTCATCCTTTTTCATTGACCAGGTGGCTTGATTGTTGTTTTGGCAAAGTGTGTCGCCGAAGCCACTATGTTTTCTGCGTTTTTATCTATAAGCACCTTCATAGCTCAGTTGGTAGAGCACATGACTTTAAGAAGTTCCTGAAACGCTGTGGTCCAAAGGTCGCTGGTTCAACTCCAGCTGCAAACACCAGATTTCATTTGTATATGCACTGTTCAACCTTTTTCATTGACCATGTTGGTTCAATAGTTATGTTGGCAAAGTGTGTCGCCGAAGCCACTATGTTTTCTGCGTTTTAATCTATAAGCACCTTCATAGCTCAGTTGGTAGAGCACATGACTTTAAGAAGTTCCTGAAACGCTGTGGTCCAAAGGTCGCTGGTTCAACTCCAGCTCCAACCACCAGATTTCATTTGTATATGCACTGTTCATCCTTTTTCATTGACCAGGTGGCTTGATTGTTGTTTTGGCAAAGTGTGTCGCCGAAGCCACTATGTTTTCTGCGTTTTTATCTATAAGCACCTTCATAGCTCAGTTGGTAGAGCACATGACTTTAAGAAGTTCCTGAAACGCTGTGGTCCAAAGGTCGCTGGTTCAACTCCAGCTCCAAGCATCCAGTTGTCATTTGTATATGCACTGTTCATCCTTTTTCATTGACCAGGTGGCTTGATTGTTGTTTTGGCAAAGTGTGTCGCCGAAGCCACTATGTTTTCTGCGTTTTTATCTATAAGCACCTTCATAGCTCAGTTGGTAGAGCACATGACTTTAAGAAGTTCCTGAAATGCTGTGGTCCAAAGGTCGCTGGTTCAACTCCTGCTCCAAACACCAGATTTCATTGATTTATGCACTGTTCAACCTTTTTCATTGACCAGGTGGCTTGATTGTTGTGTTGGCAAAGTGTGTCGCCGAAGCCACTATGTTTTCTGCGTTTTCATCTATAAGCACCTTCATAGCTCAGTTGGTAGAGCACATGACTGTAAGAAGTTCCTGAAACGCTGTGGTCCAAAGGTCCCTGGTTCAACTCCAGCTCCAAGCACCAGATTTCATTTGTATATGCACTGTTCATCCTTTTTCATTGACCAGGTGGCTTGATTGTTGTTTTGGCAAAGTGTGTCGCCGAAGCCACTATGTTTTCTGCGTTTTTATCTATAAGCACCTTCATAGCTCAGTTGGTAGAGCACATGACTTTAAGAAGTTCCTGAAACGCTGTGGTCCAAAGGTCGCTGGTTCAACTCCAGCTCCAAACACCAGATTTCATTTGTCTTAGCACTGTTCAACCTTTTTCATTGACCATGTGGGTCCAATTGTATTGTTGGCAAAGTGTGTCGCCGAAGCCACTATGTTTTCTGCGTTTTTATCTATAAGCACCTTCATAGCTCAGTTGGTAGAGCACATGACTTTAAGAAGTTCCTGAAACGCTGTGGTCCAAAGGTCGCTGGTTCAACTCCAGCTCCAAACACCAGATTTCATTTGTATATGCACTGTTCAACCTTTTTCATTGACCATGTTGGTTCAATAGTTATGTTGGCAAAGTGTGTCGCCGAAGCCACTATGTTTTCTGCGTTTTTATCTATAAGCACCTTCATAGCTCAGTTGGTAGAGCACATGACTTTAAGAAGTTCCTGAAACGCTGTGGTCCAAAGGTCGCTGGTTCAACTCCAGCTCCAAGCACCAGATTTCATTTGTATATGCACTGTTCATCCTTTTTCATTGACCAGGTGGCTTGATTGTTGTTTTGGCAAAGTGTGTCGCCGAAGCCACTATGTTTTCTGCGTTTTTATGTATAAGCACCTTCATAGCTCAGTTGGTAGAGCACATGACTTTAAGAAGTTCCCGAAACGCTGTGGTCCAAAGGTCGCTGGTTCAACTCCTGCTCCAAACACCAGATTTCATTTGTCTAAGCACTGTTCAACCTTTTTCATTGACCATGTGGGTCCAATTGTATTGTTGGCAAAGTGTGTCGCCGAAGCCACTATGTTTTCTGCGTTTTTATCTATAAGCACCTTCATAGCTCAGTTGGTAGAGCACATGACTTTAATAAGTTCCTGAAACGCTGTGGTCCAAAGGACGCTGGTTCAACTCCTGCTCCAAACACCACATTTCATTGGTCTATGCACTGTTCAACCTTTTTCATTGACCATGTTGGTTCAATAGTTATGTTGGCAAAGTGTGTCGCCGAAGCCACTATGTTTTCTGCGTTTTTATCTATAAGCACCTTCATAGCTCAGTTGGTAGAGCACATGACTTTAAGAAGTTCCTAAAACGCTGTGGTCCAAAGGTCGCTGGTTCAACTCCAGCTCCAAGCACCAGATTTCATTTGTATATGCACTGTTCATCCTCTTTCATTGACCAGGTGGCTTGATTGTTGTTTTGGCAAAGTGTGTCGCCGAAGCCACTATGTTTTCTGCGTTTTTATCTATAAGCACCTTCATAGCTCAGTTGGTAGAGCACATGACTTTAAGAAGTTCCCGAAACGCTGTGGTCCAAAGTTCGCTGGTTCAACTCCTGCTCCAAACACCAGATTTCATTGGTCTATGCACTGTTCAACCTTTTTCATTGACCAGGTGGCTTGATTGTTGTGTTGGCAAAGTGTGTCGCCGAAGCCACTATGTTTTCTGCGTTTTTATCTATAAGCACCTTCATAGCTCAGTTGGTAGAGCACATGTGTTTAAGAAGTTCCTGAAACGCTGTGGTCCAAAGGTCGCTGGTTCAACTCCAGCTCCAAGCACCAGATTTCATTTGTATATGCACTGTTCATCCTTTTTCATTGACCAGGTGGCTTGATTGTTGTTTTGGCAAAGTGTGTCGCCGAAGCCACTATGTTTTCTGCGTTTTTATCTATAAGCACCTTCATAGCTCAGTTGGTAGAGCACATGACTTTAAGAAGTTCCTGAAACGCTGTGGTCCAAAGGTCGCTGGTTCAACTCCAGCTCCAAGCATCCAGTTGTCATTTGTATATGCACTGTTCATCCTTTTTCATTGACCAGGTGGCTTGATTGTTGTTTTGGCAAAGTGTGTCGCCGAAGCCACTATGTTTTCTGCGTTTTTATCTATAAGCACCTTCATAGCTCAGTTGGTAGAGCACATGACTTTAAGAAGTTCCTGAAACGCTGTGGTCCAAAGGTCGCTGGTTCAACTCCAGCTCCAAGCATCCAGTTGTCATTTGTATATGCACTGTTCATCCTTTTTCATTGACCAGGTGGCTTGATTGTTGTTTTGGCAAAGTGTGTCGCCAAAGCCACTATGTTTTCTGCGTTTGTGTCTATAAGCACCTTCATAGCTCAGTTGGTAGAGCACATGACTTTAAGAAGTTCCTTAAACGCTGTGGTCCAAAGGACGCTGGTTCAACTCCAGCTCCAAACACCAGATTTCATTTGTATATGCACTGTTCAACGTTTTTCATTGACCATGTTGGTTCAATAGTTATGTTGGCAAAGTGTGTCGCCGAAGCCACTATGTTTTCTGCGTTTTTATCTATAAGCACCTTCATAGCTCAGTTGGTAGAGCACATGTGTTTAAGAAGTTCCTGAAATGCTGTGGTCCAAAGGTCGTTGGTTCAACTCCTGCTCCAAACACCAGATTTCATTGATTTATGCACTGTTCAACCTTTTTCATTGACCAGGTGGCTTGATTGTTGTGTTGGCAAAGTGTGTCTCCGAAGCCACTATGTTTTCTGCGTTTTTATCTATAAGCACCTTCATAGCTCAGTTGGTAGAGCACATGACTTTAAGAAGTTCCTGAAACGCTGTGGTCCAAAGGTCGCTGGTTCAACTCCAGCTCCAAGCATCCAGTTGTCATTTGTATATGCACTGTTCATCCTTTTTCATTGACCAGGTGGCTTGATTGTTGTTTTGGCAAAGTGTGTCGCCGAAGCCACTATGTTTTCTGCGTTTTTATCTATAAGCACCTTCATAGCTCAGTTGGTAGAGCACATGACTTTAAGAAGTTCCTGAAACGCTGTGGTCCAAAGGTCGCTGGTTCAACTCCAGCTCCAAACACCAGATTTCATTTGTATATGCACTGTTCAACCTTTTTCATTGACCATGTTGGTTCAATAGTTATGTTGGCAAAGTGTGTCGCCGAAGCCACTATGTTTTCTGCGTTTTTATCTATAAGCACCTTCATAGCTCAGTTGGTAGAGCACATGACTTTAAGAAGTTCCTGAAACGCTGTGGTCCAAAGGTCGCTGGTTCAACTCCAGCTCCAAGCACCAGATTTCATTTGTATATGCACTGTTCATCCTTTTTCATTGACCAGGTGGCTTGATTGTTGTTTTGGCAAAGTGTGTCGCCGAAGCCACTATGTTTTCTGCGTTTTTATCTATAAGCACCTTCATAGCTCAGTTGGTAGAGCACATGACTTTAAGAAGTTCCCGAAACGCTGTGGTCCAAAGGTCGCTGGTTCAACTCCTGCTCCAAACACCAGATTTCATTTGTCTAAGCACTGTTCAACCTTTTTCATTGACCATGTGGGTCCAATTGTATTGTTGGCAAAGTGTGTCGCCGAAGCCACTATGTTTTCTGCGTTTTTATCTATAAGCACCTTCATAGCTCAGTTGGTAGAGCACATGACTTTAAGAAGTTCCTTAAACGCTGTGGTCCAAAGGTCGCTGGTTCAACTCCAGCTCCAAACACCAGATTTCATTGGTGTATGCACTGTTCATCGTTTTTCATTGACCATGTTGGTTCAATAGTTATGTTGGCAAAGTGTGTCGCCGAAGCCACTATGTTTTCTGCGTTTGTGTCTATAAGCACCTTCATAGCTCAGTTGGTAGAGCACATGACTTTAAGAAGTTCCTGAAACGCTGTGGTCCAAAGGTCGCTGGTTCAACTCCTGCTCCAAACACCAGATTTCATTGGTCTATGCACTGTTCAACCTTTTTCATTGACCAGGTGGCTTGATTGTTGTGTTGGCAAAGTGTGTCGCCGAAGCCACTATGTTTTCTGCGTTTTTATCTATAAGCACCTTCATAGCTCAGTTGGTAGAGCACATGACTGTAAGAAGTTCCTGAAACGCTGTGGTCCAAAGGTCCCTGGTTCAACTCCTGCTCCAAGCACCAGATTTCATTTGTATATGCACTGTTCAACCTTTTTCATTGACCATGTGGGTCCAATTGTATTGTTGGCAAAGTGTGTCGCCGAAGCCACTATGTTTTCTGCGTGTTTATCTATAAGCACCTTCATAGCTCAGTTGGTAGAGCACATGACTTTAAGAAGTTCCTAAAACGCTGTGGTCCAAAGGTCGCTGGTTCAACTCCAGCTCCAAACACCAGATTTCATTGGTGTATGCACTGTTCAACCTTTTTCATTGACCATGTTGGTTCAATAGTTATGTTGGCAAAGTGTGTCGCCGAAGCCACTATGTTTTCTGCGTTTTAATCTATAAGCACCTTCATAGCTCAGTTGGTAGAGCACATGACTTTAAGAAGTTCCTGAAACGCTGTGGTCCAAAGGTCGCTGTTTCAACTCCAGCTCCAAACACCAGATTTCATTTGTATATGCACTGTTCAACCTTTTTCATTGACCATGTTGGTTCAATAGTTATGTTGGCAAAGTGTGTCGCCGAAGCCACTGTTTTCTGCGTTTTTATCTATAAGCACCTTCATAGCTCAGTTGGTAGAGCACATGACTTTAAGAAGTTCCTGAAACGCTGTGGTCCAAAGGACGCTGGTTCAACTCCTGCTCCAAACACCACATTTCATTGGTCTATGCACTGTTCAACCTTTTTCATTGACCATGTTGGTTCAATAGTTATGTTAGCAAAGTGTGTCGCCGAAGCCACTATGTTTTCTGCGTTTTTATCTATAAGCACCTTCATAGCTCAGTTGGTAGAGCACATGACTTTAAGAAGTTCCTTAAACGCTGTGGTCCAAAGGACGCTGGTTCAACTCCAGCTCCAAACACCACATTTCATTGGTGTATGCACTGTTCAACCTTTTTCATTGACCATGTGGGTCCAATTGTATTGTTGGCAAAGTGTGTCGCCGAAGCCACTATGTTTTCTGCGTTTTTATCTATAAGCACCTTCATAGCTCAGTTGGTAGAGCACATGACTTTAAGAAGTTCCTTAAACGCTTTGGTCCAAAGGACGCTGGTTCAACTCCAGCTCCAAACACCAGATTTCATTGTTGTATGCACTGTTCAACCTTTTTCATTGACCATGTTGGTTCAATAGTTATGTTGGCAAAGTGTGTCGCCGAAGCCACTATGTTTTCTGCGTTTTTATCTATAAGCACCTTCATAGCTCAGTTGGTAGAGCACATGACTTTAAGAAGTTCCTGAAACGCTGTGGTCCAAAGGACGCTGGTTCAACTCCAGCTCCAAACACCAGATTTCATTGGTGTATGCACTGTTCAACCTTTTTCATTGACCAGGTGGGTCCAATTGTATTGTTGGCAAAGTGTGTCACCGAAGCCACTATGTTTTCTTCGTTTGTGTCTATAAGCACCTTCATAGCTCAGTTGGTAGAGCACATGACTTTAAGAAGTTCCTGAAACGCTGTGGTCCAAAGGTCGCTGGTTCAACTCCAGCTCCAAGCACCAGATTTCATTTGTATATGCACTGTTCATCCTTTTTCATTGACCAGGTGGCTTGATTGTTGTTTTGGCAAAGTGTGTCGCCGAAGCCACTATGTTTTCTGCGTTTGTATCTATAAGCACCTTCATAGCTCAGTTGGTAGAGCACATGACTTTAAGAAGTTCCTGAAACGCTGTGGTCCAAAGGTCGCTGGTTCAACTCCTGCTCCAAACACCACATTTCATTGGTCTATGCACTGTTCATCCTTTTTCATTGACCAGGTGGCTTGATTGTTGTTTTGGCAAAGTGTGTCGCCGAAGCCACTATGTTTTCTGCGTTTTTATCTATAAGCACCTTCATAGCTCAGTTGTTAGAGCACATGACTTTAAGAAGTTCCTTAAACGCTGTGGTCCAAAGGACGCTGGTTCAACTCCAGCTCCAAGCACCAGATTTCATTGGTATATGCACTGTTCATCCTTTTTCATTGACCAGGTGGCTTGATTGTTGTTTTGGCAAAGTGTGTCGCCGAAGCCACTATGTTTTCTGCGTTTTTATCTATAAGCACCTTCATAGCTCAGTTGGTAGAGCACATGACTTTAAGAAGTTCCTGAAACGCTGTGGTCCAAAGGTCGCTGGATCAACTCCAGCTCCAAGCATCCAGTTGTCATTTGCAATGCACTGTTCATCCTTTTTCATTGACCAGGTGGCTTGATTGTTGTGTTGGCAAAGTGTGTCGCCGAAGCCACTATGTTTTCTGCGTTTTCATCTATAAGCACCTTCATAGCTCAGTTGGTAGAGCACATGACTTTAAGAAGTTCCTGAAACGCTGTGGTCCAAAGGTCCCTGGTTCATCTAGCTCCAATCACCAGATTTCATTTGTATATGCACTGTTCATCCTTTTTCAATGACCAGGTGGCTTGATTGTTGTTTTGGCAAAGTGTGTCGCCGAAGCCACTATGTTTTCTGCGTTTTCATCTATAAGCACCTTCATAGCTCTGTTGCTAGAGCACATGACTTTAAGAAGTTCCTGTAAGGCTGTGGTCCAAAGGTCGCTGGTTCAACTCCTGCTCCAAACACCAGATTTCATTGGTCTAAGCACTGTTCAACCTTTTTCATTGACCAGGTGGCTTGATTGTTGTGTTGGCAAAGTGTGTCGCCGAAGCCACTATGTTTTCTGCGTTTGTGTCTATAAGCACCTTCATAGCTCAGTTGGTAGAGCACATGACTGTAAGAAGTTCCTGAAACGCTGTGGTCCAAAGGTCCCTGGTTCAACTCCAGCTCCAAGCACCAGATTTCATATGTATATGCACTGTTCAACCTTTTTCATTGACCATGTTGGTTCAATAGTTATGTTGGCAAAGTGTGTCGCCGAAGCCACTATGTTTTCTGCGTTTTTATCTATAAGCACCTTCATAGCTCAGTTGGTAGAGCACATGACTTTAAGAAGTTCCTGAAACGCTGTGGTCCAAAGGTCCCTGGTTCAACTCCAGCTCCAAGCACCAGATTTCATTTGTATATGCACTGTTCATCCTTTTTCATTGACCAGGTGGCTTGATTGTTGTTTTGGCAAAGTGTGTCGCCGAAGCCACTATGTTTTCTGCGTTTTTATCTATAAGCACCTTCATAGCTCAGTTGGTAGAGCACATGACTTTAAGAAGTTCCCGAAACGCTGTGGTCCAAAGTTCGCTGGTTCAACTCCTGCTCCAAACACCAGATTTCATTAGTCTATGCACTGTTCATCCTTTTTCATTGACCAGGTGGCTTGATTGTTGTTTTGGCAAAGTGTGTCGCCGAAGCCACTATGTTTTCTGCGTTTTTATCTATAAGCACCTTCATAGCTCAGTTGGTAGAGCACATGACTTTAAGAAGTTCCTGAAACGCTGTGGTCCAAAGGTCGCTGGTTCAACTCCAGCTCCAAGCATCCAGTTGTCATTTGTATATGCACTGTTCATCCTTTTTCATTGACCAGGTGGCTTGATTGTTGTTTTGGCAAAGTGTGTCGCCGAAGCCACTATGTTTTCTGCGTTTTTATCTATAAGCACTTTCATAGCTCAGTTGGTAGAGCACATGACTTTAAGAAGTTCCTGAAACGCTGTGGTCCAAAGGTCGCTGGTTCAACTCCAGCTCCAAGCATCCAGTTGTCATTTGTATATGCACTGTTCATCCTTTTTCATTGACCAGGTGGCTTGATTGTTGTTTTGGCAAAGTGTGTCGCCAAAGCCACTATGTTTTCTGCGTTTGTGTCTATAAGCACCTTCATAGCTCAGTTGGTAGAGCACATGACTTTAAGAAGTTCCCGAAACGCTGTGGTCCAAAGGTCGCTGGTTCAACTCCTGCTCCAAACACCAGATTTCATTTGTCTAAGCACTGTTCAACCTTTTTCATTGACCATGTGGGTCCAATTGTATTGTTGGCAAAGTGTGTCGCCGAAGCCACTATGTTTTCTGCGTTTTTATCTATAAGCACCTTCATAGCTCAGTTGGTAGAGCACATGACTTTAAGAAGTTCCTTAAACGCTGTGGTCCAAAGGTCGCTGGTTCAACTCCAGCTCCAAACACCAGATTTCATTGGTGTATGCACTGTTCATCGTTTTTCATTGACCATGTTGGTTCAATAGTTATGTTGGCAAAGTGTGTCGCCGAAGCCACTATGTTTTCTGCGTTTGTGTCTATAAGCACCTTCATAGCTCAGTTGGTAGAGCACATGACTTTAAGAAGTTCCTGAAACGCTGTGGTCCAAAGGTCGCTGGTTCAACTCCTGCTCCAAACACCAGATTTCATTGGTCTATGCACTGTTCAACCTTTTTCATTGACCAGGTGGCTTGATTGTTGTGTTGGCAAAGTGTGTCGCCGAAGCCACTATGTTTTCTGCGTTTTTATCTATAAGCACCTTCATAGCTCAGTTGGTAGAGCACATGACTGTAAGAAGTTCCTGAAACGCTGTGGTCCAAAGGTCCCTGGTTCAACTCCTGCTCCAAGCACCAGATTTCATTTGTATATGCACTGTTCAACCTTTTTCATTGACCATGTGGGTCCAATTGTATTGTTGGCAAAGTGTGTCGCCGAAGCCACTATGTTTTCTGCGTGTTTATCTATAAGCACCTTCATAGCTCAGTTGGTAGAGCACATGACTTTAAGAAGTTCCTAAAACGCTGTGGTCCAAAGGTCGCTGGTTCAACTCCAGCTCCAAACACCAGATTTCATTGGTGTATGCACTGTTCAACCTTTTTCATTGACCATGTTGGTTCAATAGTTATGTTGGCAAAGTGTGTCGCCGAAGCCACTATGTTTTCTGCGTTTTAATCTATAAGCACCTTCATAGCTCAGTTGGTAGAGCACATGACTTTAAGAAGTTCCTGAAACGCTGTGGTCCAAAGGTCGCTGTTTCAACTCCAGCTCCAAACACCAGATTTCATTTGTATATGCACTGTTCAACCTTTTTCATTGACCATGTTGCTTCAATAGTTATGTTGGCAAAGTGTGTCGCCGAAGCCACTGTTTTCTGCGTTTTTATCTATAAGCACCTTCATAGCTCAGTTGGTAGAGCACATGACTTTAAGAAGTTCCTTAAACGCTGTGGTCCAAAGGACGCTGGTTCAACTCCAGCTCCAAACACCACATTTCATTGGTGTATGCACTGTTCAACCTTTTTCATTGACCATGTGGGTCCAATTGTATTGTTGGCAAAGTGTGTCGCCGAAGCCACTATGTTTTCTGCGTTTTTATCTATAAGCACCTTCATAGCTCAGTTGGTAGAGCACATGACTTTAAGAAGTTCCTTAAACGCTTTGGTCCAAAGGACGCTGGTTCAACTCCAGCTCCAAACACCAGATTTCATTGGTGTATGCACTGTTCAACCTTTTTCATTGACCATGTTGGTTCAATAGTTATGTTGGCAAAGTGTGTCGCCGAAGCCACTATGTTTTCTGCGTTTTTATCTATAAGCACCTTCATAGCTCAGTTGGTAGAGCACATGACTTTAAGAAGTTCCTGAAACGCTGTGGTCCAAAGGACGCTGGTTCAACTCCAGCTCCAAACACCAGATTTCATTGGTGTATGCACTGTTCAACCTTTTTCATTGACCATGTGGGTCCAATTGTATTGTTGGCAAAGTGTGTCACCGAAGCCACTATGTTTTCTTCGTTTGTGTCTATAAGCACCTTCATAGCTCAGTTGGTAGAGCACATGACTTTAAGAAGTTCCTGAAACGCTGTGGTCCAAAGGTCGCTGGTTCAACTCCAGCTCCAAGCACCAGATTTCATTTGTATATGCACTGTTCATCCTTTTTCATTGACCAGGTGGCTTGATTGTTGTTTTGGCAAAGTGTGTCGCCGAAGCCACTATGTTTTCTGCGTTTTTATCTATAAGCACCTTCATAGCTCAGTTGGTAGAGCACATGACTTTAAGAAGTTCCTGAAACGCTGTGGTCCAAAGGTCGCTGGTTCAACTCCTGCTCCAAACACCACATTTCATTGGTCTACGCACTGTTCATCCTTTTTCATTGACCAGGTGGCTTGATTGTTGTTTTGGCAAAGTGTGTCGCCGAAGCCACTATGTTTTCTGCGTTTTTATCTATAAGCACCTTCATAGCTCAGTTGGTAGAGCACATGACTTTAAGAAGTTCCTTAAACGCTGTGGTCCAAAGGACGCTGGTTCAACTCCAGCTCCAAGCACCAGATTTCATTGGTATATGCACTGTTCATCCTTTTTCATTGACCAGGTGGCTTGATTGTTGTTTTGGCAAAGTGTGTCGCCGAAGCCACTATGTTTTCTGCGTTTTTATCTATAAGCACCTTCATAGCTCAGTTGGTAGAGCACATGACTTTAAGAAGTTCCTGAAACGCTGTGGTCCAAAGGTCGCTGGTTCAACTCCAGCTCCAAGCATCCAGTTGTCATTTGCAATGCACTGTTCATCCTTTTTCATTGACCAGGTGGCTTGATTGTTGTGTTGGCAAAGTGTGTCGCCGAAGCCACTATGTTTTCTGCGTTTTCATCTATAAGCACCTTCATAGCTCAGTTGGTAGAGCACATGACTTTAAGAAGTTCCTGAAACGCTGTGGTCCAAAGGTCCTTGGTTCATCTAGCTCCAATCACCAGATTTCATTTGTATATGCACTTTTCATCCTTTTTCAATGACCAGGTGGCTTGATTGTTGTTTTGGCAAAGTGTGTCGCCGAAGCCACTATGTTTTCTGCGTTTTCATCTATAAGCACCTTCATAGCTCTGTTGCTAGAGCACATGACTTTAAGAAGTTCCTGTAAGGCTGTGGTCCAAAGGTCGCTGGTTCAACTCCTGCTCCAAACACCAGATTTCATTGGTCTAAGCACTGTTCAACCTTTTTCATTGACCAGGTGGCTTGATTGTTGTGTTGGCAAAGTGTGTCGCCGAAGCCACTATGTTTTCTGCGTTTGTGTCTATAAGCACCTTCATAGCTCAGTTGGTAGAGCACATGACTGTAAGAAGTTCCTGAAACGCTGTGGTCCAAAGGTCCCTGGTTCAACTCCAGCTCCAAGCACCAGATTTCATTTGTATATGCACTGTTCAACCTTTTTCATTGACCATGTTGGTTCAATAGTTATGTTGGCAAAGTGTGTCGCCGAAGCCACTATGTTTTCTGCGTTTTTATCTATAAGCACCTTCATAGCTCAGTTGGTAGAGCACATGACTTTAAGAAGTTCCTTAAACGCTGTGGTCCAAAGGTCGCTGGTTCAACTCCAGCTCCAAACACCAGATTTCATTGGTGTATGCACTGTTCATCGTTTTTCATTGACCATGTTGGTTCAATAGTTATGTTGGCAAAGTGTGTCGCCGAAGCCACTATGTTTTCTGCGTTTGTGTCTATAAGCACCTTCATAGCTCAGTTGGTAGAGCACATGACTTTAAGAAGTTCCTGAAACGCTGTGGTCCAAAGGTCGCTGGTTCAACTCCTGCTCCAAACACCAGATTTCATTGGTCTATGCACTGTTCAACCTTTTTCATTGACCAGGTGGCTTGATTGTTGTGTTGGCAAAGTGTGTCGCCGAAGCCACTATGTTTTCTGCGTTTTTATCTGTAAGCACCTTCATAGCTCAGTTGGTAGAGCACATGACTGTAAGAAGTTCCTGAAACGCTGTGGTCCAAAGGTCCCTGGTTCAACTCCAGCTCCAAGCACCAGATTTCATTTGTATATGCACTGTTCAACCTTTTTCATTGACCATGTGGGTCCAATTGTATTGTTGGCAAAGTGTGTCGCCGAAGCCACTATGTTTTCTGCGTGTTTATCTATAAGCACCTTCATAGCTCAGTTGGTAGAGCACATGACTTTAAGAAGTTCCTAAAACGCTGTGGTCCAAAGGTCGCTGGTTCAACTCCAGCTCCAAACACCAGATTTCATTGGTGTATGCACTGTTCAACCTTTTTCATTGACCATGTTGGTTCAATAGTTATGTTGGCAAAGTGTGTCGCCGAAGCCACTATGTTTTCTGCGTTTTAATCTATAAGCACCTTCATAGCTCAGTTGGTAGAGCACATGACTTTAAGAAGTTCCTGAAACGCTGTGGTCCAAAGGTCGCTGTTTCAACTCCAGCTCCAAACACCAGATTTCATTTGTATATGCACTGTTCAACCTTTTTCATTGACCATGTTGGTTCAATAGTTATGTTGGCAAAGTGTGTCGCCGAAGCCACTGTTTTCTGCGTTTTTATCTATAAGCACCTTCATAGCTCAGTTGGTAGAGCACATGACTTTAAGAAGTTCCTTAAACGCTGTGGTCCAAAGGACGCTGGTTCAACTCCAGCTCCAAACACCACATTTCATTGGTGTATGCACTGTTCAACCTTTTTCATTGACCATGTGGGTCCAATTGTATTGTTGGCAAAGTGTGTCGCCGAAGCCACTATGTTTTCTGCGTTTTTATCTATAAGCACCTTCATAGCTCAGTTGGTAGAGCACATGACTTTAAGAAGTTCCTTAAACGCTTTGGTCCAAAGGACGCTGGTTCAACTCCAGCTCCAAACACCAGATTTCATTGGTGTATGCACTGTTCAACCTTTTTCATTGACCATGTTGGTTCAATAGTTATGTTGGCAAAGTGTGTCGCCGAAGCCACTATGTTTTCTGCGTTTTTATCTATAAGCACCTTCATAGCTCAGTTGGTAGAGCACATGACTTTAAGAAGTTCCTGAAACGCTGTGGTCCAAAGGACGCTGGTTCAACTCCAGCTCCAAACACCAGATTTCATTGGTGTATGCACTGTTCAACCTTTTTCATTGACCATGTGGGTCCAATTGTATTGTTGGCAAAGTGTGTCACCGAAGCCACTATGTTTTCTTCGTTTGTGTCTATAAGCACCTTCATAGCTCAGTTGGTAGAGCACATGACTTTAAGAAGTTCCTGAAACGCTGTGGTCCAAAGGTCGCTGGTTCAACTCCAGCTCCAAGCACCAGATTTCATTTGTATATGCACTGTTCATCCTTTTTCATTGACCAGGTGGCTTGATTGTTGTTTTGGCAAAGTGTGTCGCCGAAGCCACTATGTTTTCTGCGTTTTTATCTATAAGCACCTTCATAGCTCAGTTGGTAGAGCACATGACTTTAAGAAGTTCCTGAAACGCTGTGGTCCAAAGGTCGCTGGTTCAACTCCTGCTCCAAACACCACATTTCATTGGTCTACGCACTGTTCATCCTTTTTCATTGACCAGGTGGCTTGATTGTTGTTTTGGCAAAGTGTGTCGCCGAAGCCACTATGTTTTCTGCGTTTTTATCTATAAGCACCTTCATAGCTCAGTTGGTAGAGCACATGACTTTAAGAAGTTCCTTAAACGCTGTGGTCCAAAGGACGCTGGTTCAACTCCAGCTCCAAGCACCAGATTTCATTGGTATATGCACTGTTCATCCTTTTTCATTGACCAGGTGGCTTGATTGTTGTTTTGGCAAAGTGTGTCGCCGAAGCCACTATGTTTTCTGCGTTTTTATCTATAAGCACCTTCATAGCTCAGTTGGTAGAGCACATGACTTTAAGAAGTTCCTGAAACGCTGTGGTCCAAAGGTCGCTGGATCAACTCCAGCTCCAAGCATCCAGTTGTCATTTGCAATGCACTGTTCATCCTTTTTCATTGACCAGGTGGCTTGATTGTTGTGTTGGCAAAGTGTGTCGCCGAAGCCACTATGTTTTCTGCGTTTTCATCTATAAGCACCTTCATAGCTCAGTTGGTAGAGCACATGACTTTAAGAAGTTCCTGAAACGCTGTGGTCCAAAGGTCCTTGGTTCATCTAGCTCCAATCACCAGATTTCATTTGTATATGCACTTTTCATCCTTTTTCAATGACCAGGTGGCTTGATTGTTGTTTTGGCAAAGTGTGTCGCCGAAGCCACTATGTTTTCTGCGTTTTCATCTATAAGCACCTTCATAGCTCTGTTGCTAGAGCACATGACTTTAAGAAGTTCCTGTAAGGCTGTGGTCCAAAGGTCGCTGGTTCAACTCCTGCTCCAAACACCAGATTTCATTGGTCTAAGCACTGTTCAACCTTTTTCATTGACCAGGTGGCTTGATTGTTGTGTTGGCAAAGTGTGTCGCCGAAGCCACTATGTTTTCTGCGTTTGTGTCTATAAGCACCTTCATAGCTCAGTTGGTAGAGCACATGACTGTAAGAAGTTCCTGAAACGCTGTGGTCCAAAGGTCCCTGGTTCAACTCCAGCTCCAAGCACCAGATTTCATATGTATATGCACTGTTCAACCTTTTTCATTGACCATGTTGGTTCAATAGTTATGTTGGCAAAGTGTGTCGCCGAAGCCACTATGTTTTCTGCGTTTTTATCTATAAGCACCTTCATAGCTCAGTTGGTAGAGCACATGACTTTAAGAAGTTCCTGAAACGCTGTGGTCCAAAGGTCCCTGGTTCAACTCCAGCTCCAAGCACCAGATTTCATTTGTATATGCACTGTTCATCCTTTTTCATTGACCAGGTGGCTTGATTGTTGTTTTGGCAAAGTGTGTCGCCGAAGCCACTATGTTTTCTGCGTTTTTATCTATAAGCACCTTCATAGCTCAGTTGGTAGAGCACATGACTTTAAGAAGTTCCCGAAACGCTGTGGTCCAAAGTTCGCTGGTTCAACTCCTGCTCCAAACACCAGATTTCATTAGTCTATGCACTGTTCATCCTTTTTCATTGACCAGGTGGCTTGATTGTTGTTTTGGCAAAGTGTGTCGCCGAAGCCACTATGTTTTCTGCGTTTTTATCTATAAGCACCTTCATAGCTCAGTTGGTAGAGCACATGACTTTAAGAAGTTCCTGAAACGCTGTGGTCCAAAGGTCGCTTGTTCAACTCCTGCTCCAAACACCAGATTGCATTGGTCTATGCACTGTTCAACCTTTTTCATTGACCAGGTGGCTTGATTATTGTGTTGGCAAAGTGTGTCGCCGAAGCCACTATGTTTTCTGCGTTTTTATCTATAAGCACCTTCATAGCTCAGTTGGTAGAGCACATGTGTTTAAGAAGTTCCTGAAACGCTGTGGTCCAAAGGTCGCTGGTTCAACTCCAGCTCCAAGCACCAGATTTCATTTGTATATGCACTGTTCATCCTTTTTCATTGACCAGGTGGCTTGATTGTTGTTTTGGCAAAGTGTGTCGCCGAAGCCACTATGTTTTCTGCGTTTTTATCTATAAGCACCTTCATAGCTCAGTTGGTAGAGCACATGACTTTAAGAAGTTCCTGAAACGCTGTGGTCCAAAGGTCGCTGGTTCAACTCCAGCTCCAAGCATCCAGTTGTCATTTGTATATGCACTGTTCATCCTTTTTCATTGACCAGGTGGCTTGATTGTTGTTTTGGCAAAGTGTGTCGCCGAAGCCACTATGTTTTCTGCGTTTTTATCTATAAGCACTTTCATAGCTCAGTTGGTAGAGCACATGACTTTAAGAAGTTCCTGAAACGCTGTGGTCCAAAGGTCGCTGGTTCAACTCCAGCTCCAAGCATCCAGTTGTCATTTGTATATGCACTGTTCATCCTTTTTCATTGACCAGGTGGCTTGATTGTTGTTTTGGCAAAGTGTGTCGCCAAAGCCACTATGTTTTCTGCGTTTGTGTCTATAAGCACCTTCATAGCTCAGTTGGTAGAGCACATGACTTTAAGAAGTTCCTGAAATGCTGTGGTCCAAAGGTCGCTGGTTCAACTCCTGCTCCAAACACCAGATTTCATTGATTTATGCACTGTTCAACCTTTTTCATTGACCAGGTGGCTTGATTGTTGTGTTGGCAAAGTGTGTCGCCGAAGCCACTATGTTTTCTGCGTTTTCATCTATAAGCACCTTCATAGCTCAGTTGGTAGAGCACATGACTTTAAGAAGTTCCTGAAACGCTGTGGTCCAAAGGTCGCTTGTTCAACTCCTGCTCCAAACACCAGATTTCATTGGTCTATGCACTGTTCAACCTTTTTCATTGACCAGGTGGCTTGATTATTGTGTTGGCAAAGTGTGTCGCCGAAGCCACTATGTTTTCTGCGTTTTTATCTATAAGCACCTTCATAGCTCAGTTGGTAGAGCACATGTGTTTAAGAAGTTCCTGAAACGCTGTGGTCCAAAGGTCGCTGGTTCAACTCCAGCTCCAAGCATCCAGTTGTCATTTGTATATGCACTGTTCAACCTTTTTCATTGACCATGTTGGTTCAATAGTTATGTTGGCAAAGTGTGTCGCCGAAGCCACTATGTTTTCTGCGTTTTTATCTATAAGCACCTTCATAGCTCAGTTGGTAGAGCACATGACTTTAAGAAGTTCCTGAAACGCTGTGGTCCAAAGGTCGCTGGTTCAACTCCAGCTCCAAGCACCAGATTTCATTTGTATATGCACTGTTCATCCTTTTTCATTGACCAGGTGGCTTGATTGTTGTTTTGGCAAAGTGTGTCGCCGAAGCCACTATGTTTTCTGCGTTTTTATCTATAAGCACCTTCATAGCTCAGTTGGTAGAGCACATGACTTTAAGAAGTTCCTGAAACGCTGTGGTCCAAAGGTCGCTGGTTCAACTCCTGCTCCAAACACCAGATTTCATTTGTCTAAGCACTGTTCAACCTTTTTCATTGACCATGTGGGTCCAATTGTATTGTTGGCAAAGTGTGTCGCCGAAGCCACTATGTTTTCTGCGTTTTTATCTATAAGCACCTTCATAGCTCAGTTGGTAGAGCACATGACTTTAAGAAGTTCCTGAAACGCTGTGGTCCAAAGGACGCTGGTTCAACTCCAGCTCCAAACACCAGATATCATTGGTGTATGCACTGTTCAACTTTTTTCATTGACCATGTTGGTTCAATAGTTATGTTGGCAAAGTGTGTCGCCGAAGCCACTATGTTTTCTGCGTTTTTATCTATAAGCACCTTCATAGTTCAGTTGGTAGAGTACATGACTTTAAGAAGTTCCTGAAACGCTGTGGTCCAAAGGTCGCTGGTTCAACTCCTGCTCCAAACACCAGATTTCATTGGTCTATGCACTGTTCATCCTTTTTCATTGACCAGGTGGCTTGATTGTTGTTTTGGCAAAGTGTGTCGCCGAAGCCACTATGTTTTCTGCGTTTTTATCTATAAGCACCTTCATAGCTCAGTTGGTAGAGCACATGACTTTAAGAAGTTCCTGAAACGCTGTGGTCCAAAGGTCCCTGGTTCAACTCCAGCTCCAAGCACCAGATTTCATTTGTATATGCACTGTTCATCCTTTTTCATTGACCAGGTGGCTTGATTGTTGTTTTGGCAAAGTGTGTCGCCGAAGCCACTATGTTTTCTGCGTTTTTATCTATAAGCACCTTCATAGCTCAGTTGGTAGAGCACATGACTTTAAGAAGTTCCTGAAACGCTGTGGTCCAAAGGTCGCTGGTTCAACTCCAGCTCCAAACACCAGATTTCATTTGTCTTAGCACTGTTCAACCTTTTTCATTGACCATGTGGGTCCAATTGTATTGTTGGCAAAGTGTGTCGCCGAAGCCACTATGTTTTCTGCGTTTTTATCTATAAGCACCTTCATAGCTCAGTTGGTAGAGCACATGACTTTAAGAAGTTCCTGAAACGCTGTGGTCCAAAGGTCGCTGGTTCAACTCCAGCTCCAAGCATCCAGTTGTCATTTGTATATGCACTGTTCATCCTTTTTCATTGACCAGGTGGCTTGATTGTTGTTTTGGCAAAGTGTGTCGCCGAAGCCACTATGTTTTCTGCGTTTTTATCTATAAGCACCTTCATAGCTCAGTTGGTAGAGCACATGACTTTAAGAAGTTCCTTAAACGCTGTGGTCCAAAGGTCGCTGGTTCAACTCCAGCTCCAAGCACCAGATTTCATTTGTATATGCACTGTTCATCCTTTTTCATTGACCAGGTGGCTTGATTGTTGTTTTGGCAAAGTGTGTCGCCGAAGCCACTATGTTTTCTGCGTTTTTATCTATAAGCACCTTCATAGCTCAGTTGGTAGAGCACATGTGTTCAAGAAGTTCCTGAAACGCTGTGGTCCAAAGGTCGCTGGTTCAACTCCAGCTCCAAGCACCAGATTTCATTTGTATATGCACTGTTCATCCTTTTTCATTGACCAGGTGGCTTGATTGTTGTTTTGGCAAAGTGTGTCGCCGAAGCCACTATGTTTTCTGCGTTTTTATCTATAAGCACCTTCATAGCTCAGTTGGTAGAGCACATGACTTTAAGAAGTTCCTGAAACGCTGTGGTCCAAAGGTCGCTGGTTCAACTCCAGCTCCAAGCATCCAGTTGTCATTTGTATATGCACTGTTCATCCTTTTTCATTGACCAGGTGGCTTGATTGTTGTTTTGGCAAAGTGTGTCGCCGAAGCCACTATGTTTTCTGCGTTTTTATCTATAAGCACCTTCATAGCTCAGTTGGTAGAGTACATGACTTTAAGAAGTTCCTGAAATGCTGTGGTCCAAAGGTCGCTGGTTCAACTCCTGCTCCAAACACCAGATTTCATTGGTCTATGCACTGTTCAACCTTTTTCATTGACCATGTGGGTCCAATTGTATTGTTGGCAAAGTGTGTCGCCGAAGCCACTATGTTTTCTGCGTTAGTGTCTATAAGCACCTTCATAGCTCAGTTGGTAGAGCACATGACTTTAAGAAGTTCCTGAAACGCTGTGGTCCAAAGGACGCTGGTTCAACTCCTGCTCCAAACACCACATTTCATTGGTCTATGCACTGTTCAACCTTTTTCATTGACCATGTTGGTTCAATAGTTATGTTGGCAAAGTGTGTCGCCGAAGCCACTATGTTTTCTGCGTTTTTATCTATAAGCACCTTCATAGCTCAGTTGGTAGAGCACATGACTTTAAGAAGTTCCTAAAACGCTGTGGTCCAAAGGTCGCTGGTTCAACTCCAGCTCCAAGCACCAGATTTCATTTGTATATGCACTGTTCATCCTTTTTCATTGACCAGGTGGCTTGATTGTTGTTTTGGCAAAGTGTGTCGCCGAAGCCACTATGTTTTCTGCGTTTTCATCTATAAGCACCTTCATAGCTCAGTTGGTAGAGCACATGACTTTAAGAAGTTCCTGAAACGCTATGGTCCAAAGGACGCTGGTTCAACTCCAGCTCCAAACACCAGATTTCATTGGTGTATGCACTGTTCAACCTTTTTCATTGACCATGTTGGTTCAATAGTTATGTTGGCAAAGTGTGTCGCCGAAGCCACAATGTTTTCTGCGTTTTTATCTATAAGCACCTTCATAGCTCAGTTGGTAGAGTACATGACTTTAAGAAGTTCCTGAAACGCTGTGGTCCAAAGGTCGCTGGTTCAACTCCTGCTCCAAACACCAGATTTCATTGGTCTATGCACTGTTCAACCTTTTTCATTGACCATGTGGGTCCAATTGTATTGTTGGCAAAGTGTGTCGCCGAAGCCACTATGTTTTCTGCGTTTGTGTCTATAAGCACCTTCATAGCTCAGTTGGTAGAGCACATGACTTTAAGAAGTTCCTGAAACGCTGTGGTCCAAAGGTCGCTGGTTCAACTCCTGCTCCAAACACCAGATATCATTGGTCTATGCACTGTTCAACCTTTTTCATTGACCATGTGGGTCCAATTGTATTGTTGGCAAAGTGTGTCGCCGAAGCCACTATGTTTTCTGCGTTTGTGTCTATAAGCACCTTCATAGCTCAGTTGGTAGAGCACATGACTTTAAGAAGTTCCTGAAACGCTGTGGTCCAAAGGACGCTGGTTCAACTCCTGCTCCAAACACCAGATTTCATTGGTGTATGCACTGTTCAACCTTTTTCATTGACCATGTTGGTTCAATAGTTATGTTGGCAAAGTGTGTCGCCGAAGCCACTATGTTTTCTGCGTTTTTATCTATAAGCACCTTCATAGCTCAGTTGGTAGAGCACATGACTTTAAGAAGTTCCTAAAACGCTGTGGTCCAAAGGTCGCTGGTTCAACTCCAGCTCCAAGCACCAGATTTCATTTGTATATGCACTGTTCATCCTTTTTCATTGACCAGGTGGCTTGATTGTTGTTTTGGCAAAGTGTGTCGCCGAAGCCACTATGTTTTCTGCGTTTTCATCTATAAGCACCTTCATAGCTCAGTTGGTAGAGCACATGACTTTAAGAAGTTCCTGAAACGCTATGGTCCAAAGGACGCTGGTTCAACTCCAGCTCCAAACACCAGATTTCATTGGTGTATGCACTGTTCAACCTTTTTCATTGACCATGTTGGTTCAATAGTTATGTTGGCAAAGTGTGTCGCCGAAGCCACAATGTTTTCTGCGTTTTTATCTATAAGCACCTTCATAGCTCAGTTGGTAGAGTACATGACTTTAAGAAGTTCCTGAAACGCTGTGGTCCAAAGGTCGCTGGTTCAACTCCTGCTCCAAACACCAGATTTCATTGGTCTATGCACTGTTCAACCTTTTTCATTGACCATGTGGGTCCAATTGTATTGTTGGCAAAGTGTGTCGCCGAAGCCACTATGTTTTCTGCGTTTGTGTCTATAAGCACCTTCATAGCTCAGTTGGTAGAGCACATGACTTTAAGAAGTTCCTGAAACGCTGTGGTCCAAAGGTCGCTGGTTCAACTCCTGCTCCAAACACCAGATATCATTGGTCTATGCACTGTTCAACCTTTTTCATTGACCATGTGGGTCCAATTGTATTGTTGGCAAAGTGTGTCGCCGAAGCCACTATGTTTTCTGCGTTTGTGTCTATAAGCACCTTCATAGCTCAGTTGGTAGAGCACATGACTTTAAGAAGTTCCTGAAACGCTGTGGTCCAAAGGACGCTGGTTCAACTCCTGCTCCAAACACCAGATTTCATTGGTGTATGCACTGTTCAACCTTTTTCATTGACCATGTTGGTTCAATAGTTATGTTGGCAAAGTGTGTCGCCGAAGCCACTATGTTTTCTGCGTTTTTATCTATAAGCACCTTCATAGCTCAGTTGGTAGAGCACATGACTTTAAGAAGTTCCTAAAACGCTGTGGTCCAAAGGTCGCTGGTTCAACTCCAGCTCCAAGCACCAGATTTCATTTGTATATGCACTGTTCATCCTTTTTCATTGACCAGGTGGCTTGATTGTTGTTTTGGCAAAGTGTGTCGCCGAAGCCACTATGTTTTCTGCGTTTTTATCTATAAGCACCTTCATAGCTCAGTTGGTAGAGCACATGACTTTAAGAAGTTCCTGAAACGCTGTGGTCCAAAGGACGCTGGTTCAACTCCAGCTCCAAACACCAGATTTCATTGGTGTATGCACTGTTCAACCTTTTTCATTGACCATGTTGGTTCAATAGTTATGTTGGCAAAGTGTGTCGCCGAAGCCACTATGTTTTCTGCGTTTTTATCTATAAGCACCTTCATAGCTCAGTTGGTAGAGTACATGACTTTAAGAAGTTCCTGAAACGCTGTGGTCCAAAGGTCGCTGGTTCAACTCCTGCTCCAAACACCAGATTTCATTGGTCTATGCACTGTTCAACCTTTTTCATTGACCATGTGGGTCCAATTGTATTGTTGGCAAAGTGTGTCGCCGAAGCCACTATGTTTTCTGCGTTTGTGTCTATAAGCACCTTCATAGCTCAGTTGGTAGAGCACATGACTTTAAGAAGTTCCTGAAACGCTGTGGTCCAAAGTTCGCTGGTTCAACTCCTGCTCCAAACACCACATTTCATTGGTCTATGCACTGTTCAACCTTTTTCATTGACCATGTTGGTTCAATAGTTATGTTGGCAAAGTGTGTCGCCGAAGCCACTATGTTTTCTGCGTTTTTATCTATAAGCACCTTCATAGCTCAGTTGGTAGAGCACATGACTTTAAGAAGTTCCTAAAACGCTGTGGTCCAAAGGTCGCTGGTTCAACTCCAGCTCCAAGCACCAGATTTCATTTGTACATGCACTGTTCATCCTTTTTCATTGACCAGGTGGCTTGATTGTTGTTTTGGCAAAGTGTGTCGCCGAAGCCACTATGTTTTCTGCGTTTTTATCTATAAGCACCTTCATAGCTCAGTTGGTAGAGCACATGACTTTAAGAAGTTCCCGAAACGCTGTGGTCCAAAGGTCGCTGGTTCAACTCCTGCTCCAAACACCAAATTTCATTGGTCTATGCACTGTTCATCCTTTTTCATTGACCAGGTGGCTTGATTGTTGTTTTGGCAAAGTGTGTCGCCGAAGCCACTATGTTTTCTGCGTTTTTATCTATAAGCACCTTCATAGCTCAGTTGGTAGAGCACATGACTTTAAGAAGTTCCTGAAACGCTGTGGTCCAAAGGTCCCTTGTTCAACTCCTGCTCCAAACACCAGATTTCATTGGTCTATGCACTGTTCAACCTTTTTCATTGACCAGGTGGCTTGATTGTTGTGTTGGCAAAGTGTGTCGCCGAAGCCACTATGTTTTCTGCGTTTTCATCTATAAGCACCTTCATAGCTCAGTTGGTAGAGCACATGACTGTAAGAAGTTCCTGAAACGCTGTGGTCCAAAGGTCGCTTGTTCAACTCCAGCTCCAAGCACCAGATTTCATTTGTATATGCACTGTTCATCCTTTTTCATTGACCAGGTGGCTTGATTGTTGTTTTGGCAAAGTGTGTCGCCGAAGCCACTATGTTTTCTGCGTTTTTATCTATAAGCACCTTCATAGCTCAGTTGGTAGAGCACATGACTTTAAGAAGTTCCTGAAACGCTGTGGTCCAAAGGTCGCTGGTTCAACTCCTGCTCCAAACACCAGATTTCATTTGTCTAAGCACTGTTCAACCTTTTTCATTGACCAGGTGGGTCCAATTGTATTGTTGGCAAAGTGTGTCGCCGAAGCCACTATGTTTTCTGCGTTTTTATCTATAAGCACCTTCATAGCTCAGTTGGTAGAGTACATGACTTTAAGAAGTTCCTGAAACGCTGTGGTCCAAAGGTCGCTGGTTCAACTCCTGCTCCAAACACCAGATTTCATTGGTCTATGCACTGTTCAACCTTTTTCATTGACCATGTGGGTCCAATTGTATTGTTGGCAAAGTGTGTCGCCGAAGCCACTATGTTTTCTGCGTTTGTGTCTATAAGCACCTTCATAGCTCAGTTGGTAGAGCACATGACTTTAAGAAGTTCCTGAAACGCTGTGGTCCAAAGGTCGCTGGTTCAACTCCTGCTCCAAACATCAGATATCATTGGTCTATGCACTGTTCAACCTTTTTCATTGACCATGTGGGTTCAATAGTTATGTTGGCAAAGTGTGTCGCCGAAGCCACTATGTTTTCTGCGTTTTTATCTATAAGCACCTTCATAGCTCAGTTGGTAGAGCACATGACTTTAAGAAGTTCCTAAAACGCTGTGGTCCAAAGGTCGCTGGTTCAACTCCAGCTCCAAGCACCAGATTTCATTTGTACATGCACTGTTCATCCTTTTTCATTGACCAGGTGGCTTGATTGTTGTTTTGGCAAAGTGTGTCGCCGAAGCCACTATGTTTTCTGCGTTTTTATCTATAAGCACCTTCATAGCTCAGTTGGTAGAGCACATGACTTTAAGAAGTTCCCGAAACGCTGTGGTCCAAATGTCGCTGGTTCAACTCCTGCTCCAAACACCAAATTTCATTGGTCTATGCACTGTTCATCCTTTTTCATTGACCAGGTGGCTTGATTGTTGTTTTGGCAAAGTGTGTCGCCGAAGCCACTATGTTTTCTGCGTTTTTATCTATAAGCACCTTCATAGCTCAGTTGGTAGAGCACATGACTTTAAGAAGTTCCTGAAACGCTGTGGTCCAAAGGTCGCTTGTTCAACTCCTGCTCCAAACACCAGATTTCATTGGTCTATGCACTGTTCAACCTTTTTCATTGACCAGGTGGCTTGATTGTTGTGTTGGCAAAGTGTGTCGCCGAAGCCACTATGTTTTCTGCGTTTTCATCTATAAGCACCTTCATAGCTCAGTTGGTAGAGCACATGACTGTAAGACGTTCCTGAAACGCTGTGGTCCAAAGGTCGCTTGTTCAACTCCAGCTCCAAGCACCAGATTTCATTTGTATATGCACTGTTCATCCTTTTTCATTGACCAGGTGGCTTGATTGTTGTTTTGGCAAAGTGTGTCGCCGAAGCCACTATGTTTTCTGCGTTTTTATCTATAAGCACCTTCATAGCTCAGTTGGTAGAGCACATGACTTTAAGAAGTTCCTGAAACGCTGTGGTCCAAAGGTCGCTGGTTCAACTCCTGCTCCAAACACCAGATTTCATTTGTCTAAGCACTGTTCAACCTTTTTCATTGACCAGGTGGGTCCAATTGTATTGTTGGCAAAGTGTGTCGCCGAAGCCACTATGTTTTCTGCGTTTTTATCTATAAGCACCTTCATAGCTCAGTTGGTAGAGCACATGACTTTAAGAAGTTCCTTAAACGCTGTGGTCCAAAGGACGCTGGTTCAACTCCAGCTCCAAACACCAGATTTCATTGGTGTATGCACTGTTCAACCTTTATCATTGACCATGTTGGTTCAATAGTTATGTTGGCAAAGTGTGTCGCCGAAGCCACTATGTTTTCTGCGTTTTTATCTGTAAGCACCTTCATAGCTCAGTTGGTAGAGCACATGACTTTAAGAAGTTCCTGAAACGCTGTGGTCCAAAGGTCCCTGGTTCAACTCCAGCTCCAAGCACCAGATTTCATTTGTATATGCACTGTTCATCCTTTTTCATTGACCAGGTGGCTTGATTGTTGTTTTGGCAAAGTGTGTCGCCGAAGCCACTATGTTTTCTGCGTTTTTATCTATAAGCACCTTCATAGCTCAGTTGGTAGAGCACATGACTTTAAGAAGTTCCTTAAACGCTGTTGTCCAAAGGACGCTGGTTCAACTCCAGCTCCAAACACCAGATTTCATTGGTGTATGCACTGTTCAACCTTTTTCATTGACCATGTGGGTCCAATTGTATTGTTGGCAAAGTGTGTCGCCGAAGCCACTATGTTTTCTGCGTTTGTGTCTATAAGCACCTTCATAGCTCAGTTGGTAGAGCACATCACTTTAAGAAGTTCCTGAAACGCTGTGGTCCAAAGGTCGCTGGTTCAACTCCAGCTCCAAGCATCCAGTTGTCATTTGTATATGCACTGTTCAACCTTTTTCATTGACCAGGTGGCTTGATTGTTGTTTTGGCAAAGTGTGTCGCCGAAGCCACTATGTTTTCTGCGTTTTTATCTAAAAGGACCTTCATAGCTCAGGTGGTAGAGCACATGACTTTAAGAAGTTCCTGAAATGCTGTGGTCCAAAGGTCGCTGGTTCAACTCCTGCTCCAAACACCAGATTTCATTGATTTATGCACTGTTCAACCTTTTTCATTGACCATCTGGCTTGATTGTTGTGTTGGCAAAGTGTGTCGCCGAAGCCACTATGTTTTCTGCGTTTTCATCTATAAGCACCTTCATAGCTCAGTTGGTAGAGCACATGACTGTAAGAAGTTCCTGAAACGCTGTTGTCCAAAGGTCCCTGGTTCAACTCCAGCTCCAAGCACCAGATTTCATTTGTATATGCACTGTTCATCCTTTTTCATTGACCAGGTGGCTTGATTGTTGTTTTGGCAAAGTGTGTCGCCGAAGCCACTATGTTTTCTGCGTTTTTATCTATAAGCACCTTCATAGCTCAGTTGGTAGAGCACATGACTTTAAGAAGTTCCTTAAACGCTGTGGTCCAAAGGACGCTGGTTCAACTCCAGCTCCAAACACCAGATTTCATTGGTGTATGCACTGTTCAACCTTTTTCATTGACCATGTTGGTTCAATAGTTATGTTGGCAAAGTGTGTCGCCGAAGCCACTATGTTTTCTGCGTTTTTATCTATAAGCACCTTCATAGCTCAGTTGGTAGAGCACATGACTTTAAGAAGTTCCTGAAACGCTGTTGTCCAAAGGTCGCTGGTTCAACTCCAGCTCCAAACACCAGATTTCATTTGTCTAAGCACTGTTCAACCTTTTTCATTGACCATGTTGGTTCAATAGTTATGTTGGCAAAGTGTGTCGCCGAAGCCACTATGTTTTCTGCGTTTTTATCTATAAGCACCTTCATAGCTCAGTTGGTAGAGCACATGACTTTAAGAAGTTCCTGAAACGCTGTGGTCCAAAGGTCGCTGGTTCAACTCCAGCTCCAAACACCAGATTTCATTTGTATATGCACTGTTCAACCTTTTTCATTGACCATGTTGGTTCAATAGTTATGTTGGCAAAGTGTGTCGCCGAAGCCACTATGTTTTCTGCGTTTTTATCTATAAGCACCTTCATAGCTCAGTTGGTAGAGCACATGACTTTAAGAAGTTCCTGAAACGCTGTGGTCCAAAGGTCGCTGGTTCAACTCCTGCTCCAAACACCAGATTTCATTGGTCTATGCACTGTTCAACCTTTTTCATTGACCATGTGGGTCCAATTGTATTGTTGGCAAAGTGTGTCGCCGAAGCCACTATGTTTTCTGCGTTTGTGTCTATAAGCACCTTCATAGCTCAGTTGGTAGAGCACATGACTTTAAGAAGTTCCTGAAACGCTGTGGTCCAAAGGTCGCTGGTTCAACTCCAGCTCCAAACACCACATTTCATTGGTCTATGCACTGTTCAACCTTTTTCATTGACCATGTTGGTTCAATAGTTATGTTGGCAAAGTGTGTCGCCGAAGCCACTATGTTTTCTGCGTTTTTATCTTTAAGCACCTTCATAGCTCAGTTGGTAGAGCACATGACTTTAAGAAGTTCCTGAAACGCTGTGGTCCAAAGGACGCTGGTTCAACTCCAGCTCCAAACACCAGATTTCATTGGTGTATGCACTGTTCAACCTTTTTCATTGACCATGTTGGTTCAATAGTTATGTTGGCAAAGTGTGTCGCCGAAGCCACTATGTTTTCTGCGTTTTTATCTATAAGCACCTTCATAGCTCAGTTGGTAGAGCACATGACTTTAAGAAGTTCCTGAAACGCTGTGGTCCAAAGGTCGCTGGTTCAACTCCAGCTCCAAACACCAGATTTCATTGGTCTATGCACTGTTCAACCTTTTTCATTGACCATGTGGGTCCAATTGTATTGTTGGCAAAGTGTGTCGCCGAAGCCACTATGTTTTCTGCGTTTGTGTCTATAAGCACCTTCATAGCTCAGTTCGTAGAGCACATGACTTTAAGAAGTTCCTGAAACGCTGTGGTCCAAAGGACGCTGGTTCAACTCCTGCTCCAAACACCACATTTCATTGGTCTATGCACTGTTCAACCTTTTTCATTGACCATGTTGGTTCAATAGTTATGTTGGCAAAGTGTGTCGCCGAAGCCACTATGTTTTCTGCGTTTTTATCTATAAGCACCTTCATAGCTCAGTTGGTAGAGCACATGACTTTAAGAAGTTCCTGAAACGCTGTGGTCCAAAGGTCGCTGGTTCAACTCCAGCTCCAAACACCAGATTTCATTTGTCTAAGCACTGTTCAACCTTTTTCATTGACCATGTTGGTTCAATAGTTATGTTGGCAAAGTGTGTCGCCGAAGCCACTATGTTTTCTGCGTTTTTATCTATAAGCACCTTCATAGCTCAGTTGGTAGAGCACATGACTTTAAGAAGTTCCTGAAACGCTGTGGTCCAAAGGTCGCTGGTTCAACTCCTGCTCCAAACACCAGATTTCATTGGTCTATGCACTGTTCAACCTTTTTCATTGACCATGTGGGTCCAATTGTATTGTTGGCAAAGTGTGTCGCCGAAGCCACTATGTTTTCTGCGTTTGTGTCTATAAGCACCTTCATAGCTCAGTTGGTAGAGCACATGACTTTAAGAAGTTCCTGAAACGCTGTGGTCCGAAGGACGCTGGTTCAACTCCTGCTCCAAACACCACATTTCATTGGTCTATGCACTGTTCAACCTTTTTCATTGACCATGTTGGTTCAATAGTTATGTTGGCAAAGTGTGTCGCCGAAGCCACTATGTTTTCTGCGTTTTTATCTATAAGCACCTTCATAGCTCAGTTGGTAGAGCACATGACTTTAAGAAGTTCCTGAAACGCTGTGGTCCAAAGGTCGCTGGTTCAACTCCAGCTCCAAGCACCAGATTTCATTTGTATATGCACTGTTCATCCTTTTTCATTGACCAGGTGGCTTGATTGTTGTTTTGGCAAAGTGTGTCGCCGAAGCCAATATGTTTTCTGCGTTTGTGTCTATAAGCACCTTCATAGCTCAGTTGGTAGAGCACATGACTTTAAGAAGTTCCTGAAACGCTGTGGTCCGAAGGACGCTGGTTCAACTCCTGCTCCAAACACCACATTTCATTGGTCTATGCACTGTTCAACCTTTTTCATTGACCATGTTGGTTCAATAGTTATGTTGGCAAAGTGTGTCGCCGAAGCCACTATGTTTTCTGCGTTTTTATCTATAAGCACCTTCATAGCTCAGTTGGTAGAGCACATGACTTTAAGAAGTTCCTGAAACGCTGTGGTCCAAAGGTCGCTGGTTCAACTCCAGCTCCAAGCACCAGATTTCATTTGTATATGCACTGTTCATCCTTTTTCATTGACCAGGTGGCTTGATTGTTGTTTTGGCAAAGTGTGTCGCCGAAGCCACTATGTTTTCTGCGTTTTTATCTATAAGCACCTTCATAGCTCAGTTGGTAGAGCACATGACTTTAAGAAGTTCCTTAAACGCTGTGGTCCAAAGGACGCTGGTTCAACTCCAGCTCCAAACACCAGATTTCATTGGTGTATGCACTGTTCAACCTTTTTCATTGACCATGTTGGTTCAATAGTTATGTTGGCAAAGTGTGTCGCCGAAGCCACTATGTTTTCTGCGTTTTTATCTATAAGCACCTTCATAGCTCAGTTGGTAGAGCACATGACTTTAAGAAGTTCCTGAAACGCTGTTGTCCAAAGGTCGCTGGTTCAACTCCAGCTCCAAACACCAGATTTCATTTGTCTAAGCACTGTTCAACCTTTTTCATTGACCATGTTGGTTCAATAGTTATGTTGGCAAAGTGTGTCGCCGAAGCCACTATGTTTTCTGCGTTTTTATCTATAAGCACCTTCATAGCTCAGTTGGTAGAGCACATGACTTTAAGAAGTTCCTGAAACGCTGTGGTCCAAAGGTCGCTGGTTCAACTCCTGCTCCAAACAACAGATTTCATTGGTCTATGCACTGTTCAACCTTTTTCATTGACCATGTGGGTCCAATTGTATTGTTGGCAAAGTGTGTCGCCGAAGCCACTATGTTTTCTGCGTTTGTGTCTATAAGCACCTTCATAGCTCAGTTGGTAGAGCACATGAATTTAAGAAGTTCCTGAAACGCTGTGGTCCAAAGGACGCTGGTTCAACTCCTGCTCCAAACACCACATTTCATTGGTCTATGCACTGTTCAACCTTTTTCATTGACCATGTTGGTTCAATAGTTATGTTGGCAAAGTGTGTCGCCGAAGCCACTATGTTTTCTGCGTTTTTATCTATAAGCACCTTCATAGCTCAGTTGGTAGAGCACATGACTTTAAGAAGTTCCTGAAACGCTGTGGTCCAAAGGTCGCTGGTTCAACTCCAGCTCCAAGCACCAGATTTCATTTGTATATGCACTGTTCATCCTTTTTCATTGACCAGGTGGCTTGATTGTTGTTTTGGCAAAGTGTGTCGCCGAAGCCACTATGTTTTCTGCGTTTTTATCTATAAGCACCTTCATAGCTCAGTTGGTAGAGCACATGACTTTAAGAAGTTCCTGAAACGCTGTGGTCCAAAGGTCGCTGGTTCAACTCCAGCTCCAAGCACCAGATTTCATTTGTATATGCACTGTTCATCCTTTTTCATTGACCAGGTGGCTTGATTGTTGTTTTGGCAAAGTGTGTCGCCGAAGCCACTATGTTTTCTGCGTTTTTATCTATAAGCACCTTCATAGCTCAGTTGATAGAGCACATGACTTTAAGAAGTTCCTGAAATGCTGTGGTCCAAAGGTTGCTGGTTCAACTCCTGCTCCAAGCATCCAGTTGTCATTTGTATATGCACTGTTCATCCTTTTTCATTGACCAGGTGGCTTGATTGTTGTTTTGGCAAAGTGTGTCGCCGAAGCCACTATGTTTTCTGCGTTTTTATCTATAAGCACCTTCATAGCTCAGTTGGTAGAGCACATGACTTTAAGAAGTTCCTGAAATGCTGTGGTCCAAAGGTCGCTGGTTCAACTCCTGCTCCAAACACCAGATTTCATTGATTTATGCACTGTTCAACCTTTTTCATTGACCAGGTGGCTTGATTGTTGTGTTGGCAAAGTGTGTCGCCGAAGCCACTATGTTTTCTGCGTTTTCATCTATAAGCACCTTCATAGCTCAGTTGGTAGAGCACATGACTGTAAGAAGTTCCTGAAACGCTGTGGTCCAAAGGTCCCTGGTTCAACTCCAGCTCCAAGCACCAGATTTCATTTGTATATGCTCTGTTCATCCTTTTTCATTGACCAGGTGGCTTGATTGTTGTTTTGGCAAAGTGTGTCGCCGAAGCCACTATGTTTTCTGCGTTTTTATCTATAAGCAGCTTCATAGCTCAGTTGGTAGAGCACATGACTTTAAGAAGTTCCTGAAACGCTGTGGTCCAAAGGTCGCTGGTTCAACTCCAGCTCCAAACACCAGATTTCATTTGTCTAAGCACTGTTCAACCTTTTTCATTGACCATGTGGGTCCAATTGTATTGTTGGCAAAGTGTGTCGCCGAAGCCACTATGTTTTCTGCGTTTTTATCTATAAGCACCTTCATAGCTCAGTTGGTAGAGCACATGACTTTAAGAAGTTCCTTAAACGCTGTGGTCCAAAGGACGCTGGTTCAACTCCAGCTCCAAACACCAGATTTCATTGGTGTATGCACTGTTCAACCTTTTTCATTGACCATGTTGGTTCAATAGTTATGTTGGCAAAGTGTGTCGCCGAAGCCACTATGTTTTCTGCGTTTTTATCTATAAGCACCTTCATAGCTCAGTTGGTAGAGCACATGACTTTAAGAAGTTCCTGAAACGCTGTGGTCCAAAGGTCGCTGGTTCAACTCCAGCTCCAAACACCAGATTTCATTTGTATATGCACTGTTCAACCTTTTTCATTGACCATGTTGGTTCAATAGTTATGTTGGCAAAGTGTGTCGCCGAAGCCACTATGTTTTCTGCGTTTTTATCTATAAGCACCTTCATAGCTCAGTTGGTAGAGCACATGACTTTAAGAAGTTCCTGAAACGCTGTGGTCCAAAGGTCGCTGGTTCAACTCTTGCTCCAAGGACCAGATTTCATTTGTATATGCACTGTTCATCCTTTTTCATTGACCAGGTGGCTTGATTGTTGTGTTGGCAAAGTGTGTCGCCGAAGCCACTATGTTTTCTAAGTTTTAATCTATAAGCACCTTCATAGCTCAGTTGGTAGAGCACATGACTTTAAGAAGTTTCGTAAAACGCTGTGGTCCAAAGGTCGCTGGTTCAACTCCAGCTCCAAGCACCAGATTTCATTTGTATATGCACTGTTCATCCTTTTTCATTGACCAGGTGGCTTGATTGTTGTTTTGGCAAAGTGTGTCGCCGAAGCCACTATGTTTTCTGCGTTTTTATCTATAAGCACCTTCATAGCTCAGTTGGTAGAGCACATGACTTTAAGAAGTTCCCGAAACGCTGTGGTCCAAAGGTCGCTGGTTCAACTCCTGCTCCAAACACCACATTTCATTTGTCTAAGCACTGTTCAACCTTTTTCATTGACCATGTGGGTCCAATTGTATTGTTGGCAAAGTGTGTCGCCGAAGCCACTATGTTTTCTGCGTTTCTATCTATAAGCACCTTCATAGCTCAGTTGGTAGAGCACATGACTTTAAGAAGTTCCTTAAACGCTGTGGTCCAAAGGACGCTGGTTCAACTCCAGCTCCAAACACCAGATTTCATTGGTGTATGCACTGTTCAACCTTTTTCATTGACCATGTTGGTTCAATAGTTATGTTGGCAAAGTGTGTCGCCGAAGCCACTATGTTTTCTGCGTTTTTATCTATAAGCACCTTCATAGCTCAGTTGGTAGAGCACATGACTTTAAGAAGTTCCTGAAACGCTGTGGTCCAAAGGTCGCTGGTTCAACTCCAGCTCCAAACACCAGATTTCATTTGTATATGCACTGTTCAACCTTTTTCATTGACCATGTTGGTTCAATAGTTATGTTGGCAAAGTGTGTCGCCGAAGCCACTATGTTTTCTGCGTTTTTATCTATAAGCACCTTCATAGCTCAGTTGGTAGAGCACATGACTTTAAGAAGTTCCTGAAACGCTGTGGTCCAAAGGTCGCTGGTTCAACTCCTGCTCCAAACACCAGATTTCATTGGTCTATGCACTGTTACACCTTTTTCATTGACCATGTCGGTCCAATTGTATTGTTGGCAAAGTGTGTCGCCGAAGCCACTATGTTTTCTGCGTTTGTGTCTATAAGCACCTTCATAGCTCAGTTGGTAGAGCACATGACTTTAAGAAGTTCCTGAAACGCTGTGGTCCAAAGGACGCTGTTTCAACTCCTGCTCCAAACACCACATTTCATTGGTCTATGCACTGTTCAACCTTTTTCATTGACCATGTTGGTTCAATAGTTATGTTGGCAAAGTGTGTCGCCGAAGCCACTATGTTTTCTGCGTTTTTATCTATAAGCACCTTCATAGCTCAGTTGGTAGAGCACATGACTTTAAGAAGTTCCTAAAACGCTGTGGTCCAAAGGTCGCTGGTTCAACTCCAGCTCCAAGCACCAGATTTCATTTGTATATGCACTGTTCATCCTTTTTCATTGACCAGGTGGCTTGATTGTTGTTTTGGCAAAGTGTGTCGCCGAAGCCACTATGTTTTCTGCGTTTTTATCTATAAGCACCTTCATAGCTCAGTTGGTAGAGCACATGACTTTAAGAAGTTCCCGAAACGCTGTGGTCCAAAGGTCGCTGGTTCAACTCCTGCTCCAAACACCACATTTCATTTGTATATGCACTGTTCATCCTTTTTCATTGACCAGGTGGCTTGATTGTTGTTTTGGCAAAGTGTGTCGCCGAAGCCACTATGTTTTCTGCGTTTTTATCTATAAGCACCTTCATAGCTCAGTTGGTAGAGCACATGACTTTAAGAAGTTCCCGAAACGCTGTGGTCCAAAGGTCGCTGGTTCAACTCCTGCTCCAAACACCACATTTCATTGGTCTATGCACTGTTCATCCTTTTTCATTGACCAGGTGGCTTGATTGTTGTTTTGGCAAAGTGTGTCGCCGAAGCCACTATGTTTTCTGCGTTTTTATCTATAAGCACCTTCATAGCTCAGTTGGTAGAGCACATGACTTTAAGAAGTTCCTTAAACGCTGTGGTCCAAAGGACGCTGGTTCAACTCCAGCTCCAAACACCAGATTTCATTGGTGTATGCACTGTTCAACCTTTTTCATTGACCATGTTGGTTCAATAGTTATGTTGGCAAAGTGTGTCGCTGAAGCCACTATGTTTTCTGCGTTTCTATCTATAAGCACCTTCATAGCTCAGTTGGTAGAGCACATGACTTTAAGAAGTTCCTAAAACGCTGTGGTCCAAAGGTCCCTGGTTCAACTCCAGCTCCAAGCACCAGATTTCATTTGTATATGCACTGTTCATCCTTTTTCATTGACCAGGTGGCTTGATTGTTGTTTTGGCAAAGTGTGTCGCCGAAGCCACTATGTTTTCTGGGTTTTTTATGTATAAGCACCTTCATAGCTCAGTTGGTAGAGCACATGACTTTAAGAAGTTCCTTAAACGCTGTGGTCCAAAGGACGCTGGTTCAACTCCAGCTCCAAACACCAGATTTCATTGGTGTATGCACTGTTCAACCTTTTTCATTGACCATGTTGGTTCAATAGTTATGTTGGCAAAGTGTGTCGCCGAAGCCACTATGTTTTCTGCGTTTTTATCTATAAGCACCTTCATAGCTCAGTTGGTAGAGCACATGACTTTAAGAAGTTCCTGAAACGCTGTGGTCCAAAGGTCGCTGGTTCAACTCCAGCTCCAAGCACCAGATTTCATTTGTATATGCACTGTTCATCCTTTTTCATTGACCAGATGGCTTGATTGTTGTTTTGGCAAAGTGTGTCGCCGAAGCCACTATGTTTTCTGCGTTTTTATCTATAAGCACCTTCATAGCTCAGTTGGTAGAGCACATGTGTTTAAGAAGTTCCTGAAACGCTGTGGTCCAAAGGTCGCTGGTTCAACTCCAGCTCCAAGCACCAGATTTCATTTGTATATGCACTGTTCATCCTTTTTCATTGACCAGGTGGCTTGATTGTTGTTTTGGCAAAGTGTGTCGCCGAAGCCACTATGTTTTCTGCGTTTTTATCTATAAGCACCTTCATAGCTCAGTTGGTAGAGCACATGACTTTAAGAAGTTCCTTAAACGCTGTGGTCCAAAGGACGCTGGTTCAACTCCAGCTCCAAACACCAGATTTCATTGGTGTATGCACTGTTCAACCTTTTTCATTGACCATGTTGGTTCAATAGTTATGTTGGCAAAGTGTGTCGCCGAAGCCACTATGTTTTCTGCGTTTTTATCTATAAGCACCTTCATAGCTCAGTTGGTAGAGCACATGACTTTAAGAAGTTCCTGAAACGCTGTGGTCCAAAGGTCGCTGCTTCAACTCCTGCTCCAAACACCAGATTTCATTGATTTATGCACTGTTCAACCTTTTTCATTGACCAGGTGGCTTGATTGTTGTGTTGGCAAAGTGTGTCGCCGAAGCCACTATGTTTTCTGCATTTTCATCTATAAGCACCTTCATAGCTCAGTTGGTAGAGCACATGACTGTAAGAAGTTCCTGAAACGCTGTGGTCCAAAGGTCCCTGGTTCAACTCCAGCTCCAAGCACCAGATTTCATTTGTATATGCACTGTTCATCCTTTTTCATTGACCAGGTGGCTTGATTGTTGTTTTGGCAAAGTGTGTCGCCGAAGCCACTATGTTTTCTGCGTTTTTATCTATAAGCACCTTCATAGCTCAGTTGGTAGAGCACATGACTTTAAGAAGTTCCTGAAACGCTGTGGTCCAAAGGTCGCTTGTTCAACTCCAGCTCCAAGCACCAGATTTCATTGGTCTATGCACTGTTCAACCTTTTTCATTGACCAGGTGGCTTGATTGTTGTGTTGGCAAAGTGTGTCGCCGAAGCCACTATGTTTTCTGCGTTTTTATCTATAAGCACCTTCATAGCTCAGTTGGTAGAGCACATGACTTTAAGAGGTTCCTGAAACGCTGTGGTCCAAAGGTCGCTGGTTCAACTCCTGCTCCAAACAACAGATTTCATTTGTATATGCACTGTTCATCCTTTTTCATTGACCAGGTGGCTTGATTGTTGTTTTGGCAAAGTGTGTCGCCGAAGCCACTATGTTTTCTGCGTTTTTATCTATAAGCACCTTCATAGCTCAGTTGGTAGAGCACATGACTTTAAGAAGTTCCTGAAACGCTGTGGTCCAAAAGTCGCTGGTTCAACTCCTGCTCCAAACACCAGATTTCATTGGTCTCTGCACTGTTCAACCTTTTTCATTGACCATGTGGGTCCAATTGTATTGTTGGCAAAGTGTGTCGCCGAAGCCACTATGTTTTCTGCGTTTGTGTCTATAAGCACCTTCATAGCTCAGTTGGTAGAGCACATGACTTTAAGAAGTTCCTGAAACGCTGTGGTCCAAAGGTCGCTGGTTGAACTCCAGCTCCAAGCATCCAGTTGTCATTTGTATATGCACTGTTCAACCTTTTTCATTGCACAGGTGGCTTGATTGTTGTTTTGGCAAAGTGTGTCGCCGAAGCCACTATGTTTTCTGCGTTTTTATCTAAAAGGACCTTCATAGCTCAGTTGGTAGAGCACATGACTTTAAGAAGTTCCTGAAATGCTGTGGTCCAAAGGTCGCTGGTTCAACTCCTGCTCCAAACACCAGATTTCATTGATTTATGCACTGTTCAACCTTTTTCATTGACCAGGTGGCATGATTGTTGTGTTGGCAAAGTGTGTCGCCGAAGCCACTATGTTTTCTGCGTTTTCATCTATAAGCACCTTCATAGCTCAGTTGGTAGAGCACATGACTGTAAGAAGTTCCTGAAACGCTGTTGTCCAAAGGTCCCTGGTTCAACTCCAGCTCCAAGCACCAGATTTCATTTGTATATGCACTGTTCATCCTTTTTCATTGACCAGGTGGCTTGATTGTTGTTTTGGCAAAGTGTGTCGCCGAAGCCACTATGTTTTCTGCGTTTTTATCTATAAGCACCTTCATAGCTCAGTTGGTAGAGCACATGTGTTTAAGAAGTTCCTTAAACGCTGTGCTCCAAAGCTCCCTGGTTCAACTCCAGCTCCAAGCAACAGATTTCATTTGTATATGCACTGTTCATCCTTTTTCATTGACCAGGTGGCTTGATTGTTGTTTTGGCAAAGTGTGTCGCCGAAGCCACTATGTTTTCTGCGTTTTTATCTATAAGCACCTTCATAGCTCAGTTGGTAGAGCACATGACTTTAAGAAGTTCCTGAAACGCTATGTTCCTAAGGTCGCTGGTTCAACTCCAGCTCCAAGCATCCAGTTTTCATTTGTATATGCACTGTTCATCCTTTTTCATTGACCAGGTGGCTTGATTGTTGTTTTGGCAAAGTGTGTCGCCGAAGCCACTATGTTTTCTGCGTTTTTATCTAAAAGGACCTTCATAGCTCAGTTGGAAGAGCACATGACTTTAAGAAGTTCCTGAAATGCTGTGGTCCAAAGGTCGCTGGTTCAACTCCTGCTCCAAACACCAGATTTCATTCATTTATGCACTGTTCAACCTTTTTCATTGACCATGTTGTTTCAATAGTTATGTTGGCAAAGTGTGTCGCCGAAGCCACTATGTTTTCTGCGTTTTTATCTTTAAGCACCTTCATAGCTCAGTTGGTAGAGCACATGACTTTAAGAAGTTCCTGAAACGCTGTGGTCCAAAGGTCGCTGGTTCAACTCCAGCTCCAAACACCAGATTTCATTTGTATATGCACTGTTCAACCTTTTTCATTGACCATGTTGGTTCAATAGTTATGTTGGCAAAGTGTGTCGCCGAAGCCACTATGTTTTCTGCGTTTTTATCTATAAGCACCTTCATAGCTCAGTTGGTAGAGCACATGACTTTAAGAAGTTCCTGAAACGCTGTGGTCCAAAGGTCGCTGGTTCAACTCCAGCTCCAAGCACCAGATTTCATTTGTATATGCACTGTTCATCCTTTTTCATTGACCAGATGGCTTGATTGTTGTTTTGGCAAAGTGTGTCGCCGAAGCCACTATGTTTTCTGCGTTTTTATCTATAAGCACCTTCATAGCTCAGTTGGTAGAGCACATGTGTTTAAGAAGTTCCTGAAACGCTGTGGTCCAAAGGTCGCTGGTTCAACTCCAGCTCCAAACACCAGATTTTATTCGTGTATGCACTGTTCAACCTTTTTCATTGACCAGGTGGCTTGATTGTTGTTTTGGCAAAGTGTGTCGCCGAAGCCACTATGTTTTCTGCGTTTTTATCTATAAGCACCTTCATAGCTCAGTTCGTAGAGCACATGACTTTAAGAAGTTCCTGAAACGCTGTGGTCCAAAGGTCGCTGGTTCAACTCCAGCTCCAAGCATCCAGTTGTCATTTGTATATGCACTGTTCATCCTTTTTCATTGACCAGGTGGCTTGATTGTTGTTTTGGCAAAGTGTGTCGCCGAAGCCACTATGTTTTCTGCGTTTTTATCTATAAGCACCTTCATAGCTCAGTTGGTAGAGCACATGACTTTAAGAAGTTCCTGAAACGCTGTGGTCCAAAGGTCGCTGGTTCAACTCCAGCTCCAAGCACCAGATTTCATTTGTATATGCACTGTTCATCCTTTTTCATTGACCAGGTGGCTTGATTGTTGTTTTGGCAAAGTGTGTCGCCGAAGCCACTATGTTTTCTGCGTTTTTATCTATAAGCACCTTCATAGCTCAGTTGGTAGAGCACATGTGTTTAAGAAGTTCCTGAAACGCTGTGGTCCAAAGGTCGCTGGTTCAACTCCAGCTCCAAGCACCAGATTTCATTTGTATATGCACTGTTCATCCTTTTTCATTGACCAGATGGCTTGATTGTTGTTTTGGCAAAGTGTGTCGCCGAAGCCACTATGTTTTCTGCGTTTTTATCTATAAGCACCTTCATAGCTCAGTTGGTAGAGCACATGTGTTTAAGAAGTTCCTGAAACGCTGTGGTCCAAAGGTCGCTGGTTCAACTCCAGCTCCAAACACCAGATTTTATTCGTGTATGCACTGTTCAACCTTTTTCATTGACCAGGTGGCTTGATTGTTGTTTTGGCAAAGTGTGTCGCCGAAGCCACTATGTTTTCTGCGTTTTTATCTATAAGCACCTTCATAGCTCAGTTGGTAGAGCACATGACTTTAAGAAGTTCCTGAAACGCTGTGGTCCAAAGGTCGCTGGTTCAACTCCAGCTCCAAGCATCCAGTTGTCATTTGTATATGCACTGTTCATCCTTTTTCATTGACCAGGTGGCTTGATTGTTGTTTTGGCAAAGTGTGTCGCCGAAGCCACTATGTTTTCTGCGTTTTTATCTATAAGCACCTTCATAGCTCAGTTGGTAGAGCACATGACTTTAAGAAGTTCCTGAAACGCTGTGGTCCAAAGGTCGCTGGTTCAACTCCAGCTCCAAGCACCAGATTTCATTTGTATATGCACTGTTCATCCTTTTTCATTGACCAGGTGGCTTGATTGTTGTTTTGGCAAAGTGTGTCGCCGAAGCTACTATGTTTTCTGCGTTTTTATCTATAAGCACCTTCATAGCTCAGTTGGTAGAGCACATGTGTTTAAGAAGTTCCTGAAACGCTGTGGTCCAAAGGTCGCTGGTTCAACTCCAGTTCCAAGCACCAGATTTCATTTGTATATGCACTGTTCATCCTTTTTCATTGACCAGGTGGCTTGATTGTTGTTTTGGCAAAGTGTGTCGCCGAAGCCACTATGTTTTCTGCGTTTTTATCTATAAGCACCTTCATAGCTCAGTTGGTAGAGCACATGACTTTAAGAAGTTCCTAAAACGCTGTGGTCCAAAGGTCGCTGGTTCAACTCCAGCTCCAAACACCAGATTTCATTTGTGTATGCACTGTTCAACCTTTTTCATTGACCATGTTGGTTCAATAGTTATGTTGGCAAAGTGTGTCGCCGAAGCCACTATGTTTTCTGCGTTTTTATCTATAAGCACCTTCATAGCTCAGTTGGTAGAGCACATGACTTTAAGAAGTTCCTGAAATGCTGTGGTCCAAAGGTCGCTGCTTCAACTCCTGCTCCAAACACCAGATTTCATTGATTTATGCACTGTTCAACCTTTTTCATTGACCAGGTGGCTTGATTGTTGTGTTGGCAAAGTGTGTCGCCGAAGCCACTATGTTTTCTGCGTTTTCATCTATAAGCACCTTCATAGCTCAGTTGGTAGAGCACATGACTGTAAGAAGTTCCTGAAACGCTGTGGTCCAAAGGTCCCTGGTTCAACTCCACCTCCAACCACCAGATTTCATTTGTATATGCACTGTTCATCCTTTTTCATTGACCAGGTGGCTTGATTGTTGTTTTGGCAAAGTGTGTCGCCGAAGCCACTATGTTTTCTGCGTTTTTATCTATAAGCACCTTCATAGCTCAGTTGGTAGAGCACATGACTTTAAGAAGTTCCTGAAACGCTGTGGTCCAAAGGTCGCTTGTTCAACTCCTGCTCCAAACACCAGATTTTATTGGTCTATGCACTGTTCAACCTTTTTCATTGACCAGGTTGCTTGATTGTTGTGTTGGCAAAGTGTGTCGCCGAAGCCACTATGTTTTCTGCGTTTTTATCTATAAGCACCTTCATAGCTCAGTTGGTAGAGCACATGACTTTAAGAAGTTCCTGAAACGCTGTGGTCCAAAGGTCTCTGGTTCAACTCCAGCTCCAAGCACCAGATTTCATTTGTATATGCACTGTTCATCCTTTTTCATTGACCAGGTGGCTTGATTGTTGTTTTGGCAAAGTGTGTCGCGGAAGCCACTATGTTTTCTGCGTTTTTATCTATAAGCACCTTCATAGCTCAGTTGGTAGAGCACATGACTTTAAGAAGTTCCTGAAACGCTGTGGTCCAAAGGTCGCTGGTTCAACTCCAGCTCCAAACACCAGATTTCATTGGTCTATGCACTGTTCAACCTTTTTCATTGACCATGTGGGTCCAATTGTATTGTTGGCAAAGTGTGTCGCCGAAGCCACTATGTTTTCTGCGTTTGTGTCTATAAGCACCTTCATAGCTCAGTTGGTAGAGCACATGACTTTAAGAAGTTCCTGAAACGCTGTGGTCCAAAGGTCGCTGGTTGAACTCCAGCTCCAAGCATCCAGTTGTCATTTGTATATGCACTGTTCATCCTTTTTCATTGACCAGGTGGCTTGATTGTTGTTTTGGCAAAGTGTGTCGCCGAAGCCACTATGTTTTCTGCGTTTTTATCTAAAAGGACCTTCATAGCTCAGTTGGTAGAGCACATGACTTTAAGAAGTTCCTGAAATGCTGTGGTCCAAAGGTCGCTGGTTCAACTCCTGCTCCAAGCACCAGATTTCATTGATTTATGCACTGTTCAACCTTTTTCATTGACCAGGTGGCTTGATTGTTGTGTTGGCAAAGTGTGTCGCCGAAGCCACTATGTTTTCTGCGTTTTCATCTATAAGCACCTTCATAGCTCAGTTGGTAGAGCACATGACTGTAAGAAGTTCCTGAAACGCTGTTGTCCAAAGGTCCCTGGTTCAACTCCAGCTCCAAGCACCAGATTTCATTTGTATATGCACTGTTCATCCTTTTTCATTGACCAGGTGGCTTGATTGTTGTTTTGGCAAAGTGTGTCGCCGAAGCCACTATGTTTTCTGCGTTTTTATCTATAAGCACCTTCATAGCTCAGTTGGTAGAGCACATGACTGTAAGAAGTTCCTGAAACGCTGTGGTCCAAAGGTCGCTGGTTCAACTCCATCTCCAAACACCAGATTTCATTTGTCTAAGCACTGTTCAACCTTTTTCATTGACCATGTGGGTCCAATTGTATTGTTGGCAAAGTGTGTCGCCGAAGCCACTATGTTTTCTGCGTTTTTATCTATAAGCACCTTCATAGCTCAGTTGGTAGAGCACATGACTTTAAGAAGTTCCTTAAACGCTGTGGTCCAAAGGACGCTGGTTCAACTCCAGCTCCAAACACCAGATTTCATTGGTGTATGCACTGTTCAACCTTTTTCATTGACCATGTTGGTTCAATAGTTATGTTGGCAAAGTGTGTCGCCGAAGCCACTATGTTTTCTGCGTTTTTATCTATAAGCACCTTCATAGCTCAGTTGGTAGAGCACATGACTTTAAGAAGTTCCTGAAACGCTGTGGTCCAAAGGTCGCTGGTTCAACTCCAGCTCCAAACACCAGATTTCATTTGTCTAAGCACTGTTCAACCTTTTTCATTGACCATGTTGGTTCAATAGTTATGTTGGCAAAGTGTGTCGCCGAAGCCACTATGTTTTCTGCGTTTTTATCTATAAGCACCTTCATAGCTCAGTTGGTAGAGCACATGACTTTAAGAAGTTCCTGAAACGCTGTGGTCCAAAGGTCGCTGGTTCAACTCCTGCTCCAAACACCAGATTTCATTGGTCTATGCACTGTTCAACCTTTTTCATTGACCATGTGGGTCCAATTGTATTGTTGGCAAAGTGTGTCGCCGAAGCCACTATGTTTTCTGCGTTTGTGTCTATAAGCACCTTCATAGCTCAGTTCGTAGAGCACATGACTTTAAGAAGTTCCTGAAACGCTGTGGTCCAAAGGACGCTGGTTCAACTCCTGCTCCAAACACCACATTTCATTGGTCTATGCACTGTTCAACCTTTTTCATTGACCATGTTGGTTCAATAGTTATGTTGGCAAAGTGTGTCGCCGAAGCCACTATGTTTTCTGCGTTTTTATCTATAAGCACCTTCATAGCTCAGTTGGTAGAGCACATGACTTTAAGAAGTTCCTGAAACGCTGTGGTCCAAAGGTCGCTGGTTCAACTCCTGCTCCAAACACCAGATTTCATTGGTCTATGCACTGTTCAACCTTTTTCATTGACCATGTGGGTCCAATTGTATTGTTGGCAAAGTGTGTCGCCGAAGCCACTATGTTTTCTGCGTTTGTGTCTATAAGCACCTTCATAGCTCAGTTGGTAGAGCACATGACTTTAAGAAGTTCCTGAAACGCTGTGGTCCAAAGGACGCTGGTTCAACTCCTGCTCCAAACACCACATTTCATTGGTCTATGCACTGTTCAACCTTTTTCATTGACCATGTTGGTTCAATAGTTATGTTGGCAAAGTGTGTCGCCGAAGCCACTATGTTTTCTGCGTTTTTATCTAAAAGGACCTTCATAGCTCAGTTGGTAGAGCACATGACTTTAAGAAGTTCCTGAAATGCTGTGGTCCAAAGGTCGCTGGTTCAACTCCTGCTCCAAACACCAGATTTCATTGATTTATGCACTGTTCAACCTTTTTCATTGACCAGGTGGCTTGATTGTTGTGTTGGCAAAGTGTGTCGCCGAAGCCACTATGTTTTCTGCGTTTTCATCTATAAGCACCTTCATAGCTCAGTTGGTAGAGCACATGACTGTAAGAAGTTCCTGAAACGCTGTTGTCCAAAGGTCCCTGGTTCAACTCCAGCTCCAAGCACCAGATTTCATTTGTATATGCACTGTTCATCCTTTTTCATTGACCAGGTGGCTTGATTGTTGTTTTGGCAAAGTGTGTCGCCGAAGCCACTATGTTTTCTGCGTTTTTATCTATAAGCACCTTCATAGCTCAGTTGGTAGAGCACATGTGTTTAAGAAGTTCCTTAAACGCTGTGCTCCAAAGCTCCCTGGTTCAACTCCAGCTCCAAGCAACAGATTTCATTTGTATATGCACTGTTCATCCTTTTTCATTGACCAGGTGGCTTGATTGTTGTTTTGGCAAAGTGTGTCGCCGAAGCCACTATGTTTTCTGCGTTTTTATCTATAAGCACCTTCATAGCTCAGTTGGTAGAGCACATGACTTTAAGAAGTTCCTGAAACGCTATGGTCCTAAGGTCGCTGGTTCAACTCCAGCTCCAAGCATCCAGTTTTCATTTGTATATGCACTGTTCATCCTTTTTCATTGACCAGGTGGCTTGATTGTTGTTTTGGCAAAGTGTGTCGCCGAAGCCACTATGTTTTCTGCGTTTTTATCTAAAAGGACCTTCATAGCTCAGTTGGAAGAGCACATGACTTTAAGAAGTTCCTGAAATGCTGTGGTCCAAAGGTCGCTGGTTCAACTCCTGCTCCAAACACCAGATTTCATTCATTTATGCACTGTTCAACCTTTTTCATTGACCATGTTGGTTCAATAGTTATGTTGGCAAAGTGTGTCGCCGAAGCCACTATGTTTTCTGCGTTTTTATCTATAAGCACCTTCATAGCTCAGTTGGTAGAGCACATGACTTTAAGAAGTTCCTGAAACGCTGTGGTCCAAAGGTCGCTGGTTCAACTCCAGCTCCAAACACCAGATTTCATTTGTATATGCACTGTTCAACCTTTTTCATTGACCATGTTGGTTCAATAGTTATGTTGGCAAAGTGTGTCGCCGAAGCCACTATGTTTTCTGCGTTTTTATCTATAAGCACCTTCATAGCTCAGTTGGTAGAGCACATGACTTTAAGAAGTTCCTGAAACGCTGTGGTCCAAAGGTCGCTGGTTCAACTCCTGCTCCAAACAACAGATTTCATTGGTCTATGCACTGTTCAACCTTTTTCATTGACCATGTGGGTCCAATTGTATTGTTGGCAAAGTGTGTCGCCGAAGCCACTATGTTTTCTGCGTTTGTGTCTATAAGCACCTTCATAGCTCAGTTGGTAGAGCACATGACTTTAAGAAGTTCCTGAAACGCTGTGGTCCAAAGGACGCTGGTTCAACTCCTGCTCCAAACACCACATTTCATTGGTCTATGCACTGTTCAACCTTTTTCATTGACCATGTTGGTTCAATAGTTATGTTGGCAAAGTGTGTCGCCGAAGCCACTATGTTTTCTGCGTTTGTGTCTATAAGCACCTTCATAGCTCAGTTGGTAGAGCACATGACTTTAAGAAGTTCCTGAAACGCTGTGGTCCAAAGGTCGCTGGTTCAACTCCAGTTCCAAGCACCCGATTTCATTTGTATATGCACTGTTCATCCTTTTTCATTGACCAGGTGGCTTGATTGTTGTTTTGGCAAAGTGTGTCGCCGAAGCCACTATGTTTTCTGCGTTTTTATCTATAAGCACCTTCATAGCTCAGTTGGTATAGAACATGTGTTTAAGAAGTTCCTGAAACGCTGTGGTCCAAAGGTCGCTGGTTCAACTCCAGCTCCAAGCACCAGATTTCATTTGTATATGCACTGTTCATCCTTTTTCATTGACCAGGTGGCTTGATTGTTGTTTTGGCAAAGTGTGTCGCCGAAGCCACTATGTTTTCTGCGTTTTTATCTATAAGCACCTTCATAGCTCAGTTGGTAGAGCACATGACTTTAAGAAGTTCCTGAAACGCTGTGGTCCAAAGGTCGCTGGTTCAACTCCAGCTCCAAGCATCCAGTTGTCATTTGTATATGCACTGTTCATCCTTTTTCATTGACCAGGTGGCTTGATTGTTGTTTTGGCAAAGTGTGTCGCCGAAGCCACTATGTTTTCTGCGTTTTTATCTATAAGCACCTTCATAGCTCAGTTGGTAGAGCACATGACTTTAAGAAGTTCCTGAAACGCTGTGGTCCAAAGGTCGCTGGTTCAACTCCAGCTCCAAGCACCAGATTTCATTTGTATATGCACTGTTCATCCTTTTTCATTGACCAGGTGGCTTGATTGTTGTTTTGGCAAAGTGTGTCGCCGAAGCTACTATGTTTTCTGCGTTTTTATCTATAAGCACCTTCATAGCTCAGTTGGTAGAGCACATGTGTTTAAGAAGTTCCTGAAACGCTGTGGTCCAAAGGTCGCTGGTTCAACTCCAGTTCCAAGCACCAGATTTCATTTGTATATGCACTGTTCATCCTTTTTCATTGACCAGGTGGCTTGATTGTTGTTTTGGCAAAGTGTGTCGCCGAAGCCACTATGTTTTCTGCGTTTTTATCTATAAGCACCTTCATAGCTCAGTTGGTAGAGCACATGACTTTAAGAAGTTCCTAAAACGCTGTGGTCCAAAGGTCGCTGGTTCAACTCCAGCTCCAAACACCAGATTTCATTTGTGTATGCACTGTTCAACCTTTTTCATTGACCATGTTGGTTCAATAGTTATGTTGGCAAAGTGTGTCGCCGAAGCCACTATGTTTTCTGCGTTTTTATCTATAAGCACCTTCATAGCTCAGTTGGTAGAGCACATGACTTTAAGAAGTTCCTGAAATGCTGTGGTCCAAAGGTCGCTGCTTCAACTCCTGCTCCAAACACCAGATTTCATTGATTTATGCACTGTTCAACCTTTTTCATTGACCAGGTGGCTTGATTGTTGTGTTGGCAAAGTGTGTCGCCGAAGCCACTATGTTTTCTGCGTTTTCATCTATAAGCACCTTCATAGCTCAGTTGGTAGAGCACATGACTGTAAGAAGTTCCTGAAACGCTGTGGTCCAAAGGTCCCTGGTTCAACTCCACCTCCAAGCACCAGATTTCATTTGTATATGCACTGTTCATCCTTTTTCATTGACCAGGTGGCTTGATTGTTGTTTTGGCAAAGTGTGTCGCCGAAGCCACTATGTTTTCTGCGTTTTTATCTATAAGCACCTTCATAGCTCAGTTGGTAGAGCACATGACTTTAAGAAGTTCCTGAAACGCTGTGGTCCAAAGGTCGCTGGTTCAACTCCTGCTCCAAACACCAGATTTCATTGGTCTATGCACTGTTCAACCTTTTTCATTGACCAGGTGGTTCATTGTTGTGTTGGCAAAGTGTGTCGCCGAAGCCACTATGTTTTCTGCGTTTTTATCTATAAGCACCTTCATAGCTCAGTTGGTAGAGCACATGACTTTAAGAAGTTCCTGAAACGCTGTGGTCCAAAGGTCTCTGGTTCAACTCCAGCTCCAAGCACCAGATTTCATTTGTATATGCACTGTTCATCCTTTTTCATTGACCAGGTGGCTTGATTGTTGTTTTGGCAAAGTGTGTCGCCGAAGCCACTATGTTTTCTGCGTTTTTATCTATAAGCACCTTCATAGCTCAGTTGGTAGAGCACATGACTTTAAGAAGTTCCTGAAACGCTGTGGTCCAAAGGTCGCTGGTTCAACTCCAGCTCCAAACACCAGATTTCATTGGTCTATGCACTGTTCAACCTTTTTCATTGACCATGTGGGTCCAATTGTATTGTTGGCAAAGTGTGTCGCCGAAGCCACTATGTTTTCTGCGTTTGTGTCTATAAGCACCTTCATAGCTCAGTTGGTAGAGCACATGACTTTAAGAAGTTCCTGAAACGCTGTGGTCCAAAGGTCCTGGTTGAACTCCAGCTCCAAGCATCCAGTTGTCATTTGTATATGCACTGTTCAACCTTTTTCATTGACCAGGTGGCTTGATTGTTGTTTTGGCAAAGTGTGTCGCCGAAGCCACTATGTTTTCTGCGTTTTTATCTATAAGCACCTTCATAGCTCAGTTGGTAGAGCACATGACTTTAAGAAGTTCCTGAAATGCTGTGGTCCAAAGGTCGCTGGTTCAACTCCTGCTCCAAACACCAGATTTCATTGTTTATGCACTGTTCATCCTTTTTCATTGACCAGGTGGCTTGATTGTTGTGTTGGCAAAGTGTGTCGCCGAAGCCACTATGTTTTCTGCGTTTTCATCTATAAGCACCTTCATAGCTCAGTTGGTAGAGCACATGACTTTAAGAAGTTCCTGAAACGCTGTGGTCCAAAGGTCGCTGGTTCAACTCCAGCTCCAAGCACCAGATTTCATTTGTATATGCACTGTTCATCCTTTTTCATTGACCAGGTGGCTTGATTGTTGTTTTGGCAAAGTGTGTCGCCGAAGCCACTATGTTTTCTGCGTTTTTATCTAAAAGGACCTTCATAGCTCAGTTGGAAGAGCACATGACTTTAAGAAGTTCCTGAAATGCTGTGGTCCAAAGGTCGCTGGTTCAACTCCTGCTCCAAACACCAGATTTCATTCATTTATGCACTGTTCAACCTTTTTCATTGACCATGTTGGTTCAATAGTTATGTTGGCAAAGTGTGTCGCCGAAGCCACTATGTTTTCTGCGTTTTTATCTATAAGCACCTTCATAGCTCAGTTGGTAGAGCACATGACTTTAAGAAGTTCCTGAAACGCTGTGGTCCAAAGGTCGCTGGTTCAACTCCAGCTCCAAACACCAGATTTCATTTGTATATGCACTGTTCAACCTTTTTCATTGACCATGTTGGTTCAATAGTTATGTTGGCAAAGTGTGTCGCCGAAGCCACTATGTTTTCTGCGTTTTTATCTATAAGCACCTTCATAGCTCAGTTGGTAGAGCACATGACTTTAAGAAGTTCCTGAAACGCTGTGGTCCAAAGGTCGCTGGTTCAACTCCTGCTCCAAACAACAGATTTCATTGGTCTATGCACTGTTCAACCTTTTTCATTGACCATGTGGGTCCAATTGTATTGTTGGCAAAGTGTGTCGCCGAAGCCACTATGTTTTCTGCGTTTGTGTCTATAAGCACCTTCATAGCTCAGTTGGTAGAGCACATGACTTTAAGAAGTTCCTGAAACGCTGTGGTCCAAAGGACGCTGGTTCAACTCCTGCTCCAAACACCACATTTCATTGGTCTATGCACTGTTCAACCTTTTTCATTGACCATGTTGGTTCAATAGTTATGTTGGCAAAGTGTGTCGCCGAAGCCACTATGTTTTCTGCGTTTGTGTCTATAAGCACCTTCATAGCTCAGTTGGTAGAGCACATGACTTTAAGAAGTTCCTGAAACGCTGTGGTCCAAAGGTCGCTGGTTCAACTCCAGTTCCAAGCACCCGATTTCATTTGTATATGCACTGTTCATCCTTTTTCATTGACCAGGTGGCTTGATTGTTGTTTTGGCAAAGTGTGTCGCCGAAGCCACTATGTTTTCTGCGTTTTTATCTATAAGCACCTTCATAGCTCAGTTGGTATAGAACATGTGTTTAAGAAGTTCCTGAAACGCTGTGGTCCAAAGGTCGCTGGTTCAACTCCAGCTCCAAGCACCAGATTTCATTTGTATATGCACTGTTCATCCTTTTTCATTGACCAGGTGGCTTGATTGTTGTTTTGGCAAAGTGTGTCGCCGAAGCCACTATGTTTTCTGCGTTTTTATCTATAAGCACCTTCATAGCTCAGTTGGTAGAGCACATGACTTTAAGAAGTTCCTGAAACGCTGTGGTCCAAAGGTCGCTGGTTCAACTCCAGCTCCAAGCATCCAGTTGTCATTTGTATATGCACTGTTCATCCTTTTTCATTGACCAGGTGGCTTGATTGTTGTTTTGGCAAAGTGTGTCGCCGAAGCCACTATGTTTTCTGCGTTTTTATCTATAAGCACCTTCATAGCTCAGTTGGTAGAGCACATGACTTTAAGAAGTTCCTGAAACGCTGTGGTCCAAAGGTCGCTGGTTCAACTCCAGCTCCAAGCACCAGATTTCATTTGTATATGCACTGTTCATCCTTTTTCATTGACCAGGTGGCTTGATTGTTGTTTTGGCAAAGTGTGTCGCCGAAGCTACTATGTTTTCTGCGTTTTTATCTATAAGCACCTTCATAGCTCAGTTGGTAGAGCACATGTGTTTAAGAAGTTCCTGAAACGCTGTGGTCCAAAGGTCGCTGGTTCAACTCCAGTTCCAAGCACCAGATTTCATTTGTATATGCACTGTTCATCCTTTTTCATTGACCAGGTGGCTTGATTGTTGTTTTGGCAAAGTGTGTCGCCGAAGCCACTATGTTTTCTGCGTTTTTATCTATAAGCACCTTCATAGCTCAGTTGGTAGAGCACATGACTTTAAGAAGTTCCTAAAACGCTGTGGTCCAAAGGTCGCTGGTTCAACTCCAGCTCCAAACACCAGATTTCATTTGTGTATGCACTGTTCAACCTTTTTCATTGACCATGTTGGTTCAATAGTTATGTTGGCAAAGTGTGTCGCCGAAGCCACTATGTTTTCTGCGTTTTTATCTATAAGCACCTTCATAGCTCAGTTGGTAGAGCACATGACTTTAAGAAGTTCCTGAAATGCTGTGGTCCAAAGGTCGCTGCTTCAACTCCTGCTCCAAACACCAGATTTCATTGATTTATGCACTGTTCAACCTTTTTCATTGACCAGGTGGCTTGATTGTTGTGTTGGCAAAGTGTGTCGCCGAAGCCACTATGTTTTCTGCGTTTTCATCTATAAGCACCTTCATAGCTCAGTTGGTAGAGCACATGACTGTAAGAAGTTCCTGAAACGCTGTGGTCCAAAGGTCCCTGGTTCAACTCCACCTCCAAGCACCAGATTTCATTTGTATATGCACTGTTCATCCTTTTTCATTGACCAGGTGGCTTGATTGTTGTTTTGGCAAAGTGTGTCGCCGAAGCCACTATGTTTTCTGCGTTTTTATCTATAAGCACCTTCATAGCTCAGTTGGTAGAGCACATGACTTTAAGAAGTTCCTGAAACGCTGTGGTCCAAAGGTCGCTTGTTCAACTCCTGCTCCAAACACCAGATTTTATTGGTCTATGCACTGTTCAACCTTTTTCATTGACCAGGTTGCTTCATTGTTGTGTTGGCAAAGTGTGTCGCCGAAGCCACTATGTTTTCTGCGTTTTTATCTATAAGCACCTTCATAGCTCAGTTGGTAGAGCACATGACTTTAAGAAGTTCCTGAAACGCTGTGGTCCAAAGGTCTCTGGTTCAACTCCAGCTCCAAGCACCAGATTTCATTTGTATATGCACTGTTCATCCTTTTTCATTGACCAGGTGGCTTGATTGTTGTTTTGGCAAAGTGTGTCGCCGAAGCCACTATGTTTTCTGCGTTTTTATCTATAAGCACCTTCATAGCTCAGTTGGTAGAGCACATGACTTTAAGAAGTTCCTGAAACGCTGTGGTCCAAAGGTCGCTGGTTCAACTCCAGCTCCAAACACCAGATTTCATTGGTCTATGCACTGTTCAACCTTTTTCATTGACCATGTGGGTCCAATTGTATTGTTGGCAAAGTGTGTCGCCGAAGCCACTATGTTTTCTGCGTTTGTGTCTATAAGCACCTTCATAGCTCAGTTGGTAGAGCACATCACTTTAAGAAGTTCCTGAAACGCTGTGGTCCAAAGGTCGCTGGTTCAACTCCAGCTCCAAGCATCCAGTTGTCATTTGTATATGCACTGTTCAACCTTTTTCATTGACCAGGTGGCTTGATTGTTGTTTTGGCAAAGTGTGTCGCCGAAGCCACTATGTTTTCTGCGTTTTTATCTATAAGCACCTTCATAGCTCAGTTGGTAGAGCACATGACTTTAAGAAGTTCCTGAAATGCTGTGGTCCAAAGGTCGCTGGTTCAACTCCTGCTCCAAACACCAGATTTCATTGATTTATGCACTGTTCAACCTTTTTCATTGACCAGGTGGCTTGATTGTTGTGTTGGCAAAGTGTGTCGCCGAAGCCACTATGTTTTCTGCGTTTTCATCTATAAGCACCTTCATAGCTCAGTTGGTAGAGCACATGACTGTAAGAAGTTCCTGAAACGCTGTTGTCCAAAGGTCCCTGGTTCAACTCCAGCTCCAAGCACCAGATTTCATTTGTATATGCACTGTTCATCCTTTTTCATTGACCAGGTGGCTTGATTGTTGTTTTGGCAAAGTGTGTCGCCGAAGCCACTATGTTTTCTGCGTTTTTATCTATAAGCATCTTCATAGCTCAGTTGGTAGAGCACATGACTGTAAGAAGTTCCTGAAACGCTGTGGTCCAAAGGTCGCTGGTTCAACTCCAGCTCCAAACACCAGATTTCATTTGTCTAAGCACTGTTCAACCTTTTTCATTGACCATGTGGGTCCAATTGTATTGTTGGCAAAGTGTGTCGCCGAAGCCACTATGTTTTCTGCGTTTTTATCTATAAGCACCTTCATAGCTCAGTTGGTAGAGCACATGACTTTAAGAAGTTCCTTAAACGCTGTGGTCCAAAGGACGCTGGTTCAACTCCAGCTCCAAACACCAGATTTCATTGGTGTATGCACTGTTCAACCTTTTTCATTGACCATGTTGGTTCAATAGTTATGTTGGCAAAGTGTGTCGCCGAAGCCACTATGTTTTCTGCGTTTTTATCTATAAGCACCTTCATAGCTCAGTTGGTAGAGCACATGACTTTAAGAAGTTCCTGAAACGCTGTGGTCCAAAGGTCGCTGGTTCAACTCCTGCTCCAAACACCAGATTTCATTGGTCTATGCACTGTTCAACCTTTTTCATTGACCATGTGGGTCCAATTGTATTGTTGGCAAAGTGTGTCGCCGAAGCCACTATGTTTTCTGCGTTTGTGTCTATAAGCACCTTCATAGCTCAGTTCGTAGAGCACATGACTTTAAGAAGTTCCTGAAACGCTGTGGTCCAAAGGACGCTGGTTCAACTCCTGCTCCAAACACCACATTTCATTGGTCTATGCACTGTTCAACCTTTTTCATTGACCATGTTGGTTCAATAGTTATGTTGGCAAAGTGTGTCGCCGAAGCCACTATGTTTTCTGCGTTTTTATCTATAAGCACCTTCATAGCTCAGTTGGTAGAGCACATGACTTTAAGAAGTTCCTGAAACGCTGTGGTCCAAAGGTCGCTGGTTCAACTCCTGCTCCAAACACCAGATTTCATTGGTCTATGCACTGTTCAACCTTTTTCATTGACCATGTGGGTCCAATTGTATTGTTGGTAAAGTGTGTCGCCGAAGCCACTATGTTTTCTGCGTTTGTGTCTATAAGCACCTTCATAGCTCAGTTGGTAGAGCACATGACTTTAAGAAGTTCCTGAAACGCTGTGGTCCAAAGGACGCTGGTTCAACTCCTGCTCCAAACACCACATTTCATTGGTCTATGCACTGTTCAACCTTTTTCATTGACCATGTTGGTTCAATAGTTATGTTGGCAAAGTGTGTCGCCGAAGCCACTATGTTTTCTGCGTTTTTATCTATAAGCACCTTCATAGCTCAGTTGGTAGAGCACATGACTTTAAGAAGTTCCTGAAACGCTGTGGTCCAAAGGTCGCTGGTTCAACTCCAGCTCCAAGCACCAGATTTCATTTGTATATGCACTGTTCATCCTTTTTCATTGACCAGGTGGCTTGATTGTTGTTTTGGCAAAGTGTGTCGCCGAAGCCACTATGTTTTCTGCGTTTTTATCTATAAGCACCTTCATAGCTCAGTTGGTAGAGCACATGACTTTAAGAAGTTCCTTAAACGCTGTGGTCCAAAGGACGCTGGTTCAACTCCAGCTCCAAACACCAGATTTCATTGGTGTATGCACTGTTCAACCTTTTTCATTGACCATGTTGGTTCAATAGTTATGTTGGCAAAGTGTGTCGCCGAAGCCACTATGTTTTCTGCGTTTTTATCTATAAGCACCTTCATAGCTCAGTTGGTAGAGCACATGACTTTAAGAAGTTCCTGAAACGCTGTTGTCCAAAGGTCGCTGGTTCAACTCCAGCTCCAAACACCAGATTTCATTTGTCTAAGCACTGTTCAACCTTTTTCATTGACCATGTTGGTTCAATAGTTATGTTGGCAAAGTGTGTCGCCGAAGCCACTATGTTTTCTGCGTTTTTATCTATAAGCACCTTCATAGCTCAGTTGGTAGAGCACATGACTTTAAGAAGTTCCTGAAACGCTGTGGTCCAAAGGTCGCTGGTTCAACTCCTGCTCCAAACACCAGATTTCATTGGTCTATGCACTGTTCAACCTGTTTCATTGACCATGTGGGTCCAATTGTATTGTTGGCAAAGTGTGTCGCCGAAGCCACTATGTTTTCTGCGTTTGTGTCTATAAGCACCTTCATAGCTCAGTTGGTAGAGCACATGACTTTAAGAAGTTCCTGAAACGCTGTGGTCCAAAGGACGCTGGTTCAACTCCTGCTCCAAACACCACATTTCATTGGTCTATGCACTGTTCAACCTTTTTCATTGACCATGTTGGTTCAATAGTTATGTTGGCAAAGTGTGTCGCCGAAGCCACTATGTTTTCTGCGTTTTTATCTATAAGCACCTTCATAGCTCAGTTGGTAGAGCACATGACTTTAAGAAGTTCCTGAAACGCTGTGGTCCAAAGGTCGCTGGTTCAACTCCAGCTCCAAGCACCAGATTTCATTTGTATATGCACTGTTCATCCTTTTTCATTGACCAGGTGGCTTGATTGTTGTTTTGGCAAAGTGTGTCGCCGAAGCCACTATGTTTTCTGCGTTTTTATCTATAAGCACCTTCATAGCTCAGTTGGTAGAGCACATGACTTTAAGAAGTTCCTGAAACGCTGTGGTCCAAAGGTCGCTGGTTCAACTCCAGCTCCAAGCATCCAGTTGTCATTTGTATATGCACTGTTCATCCTTTTTCATTGACCAGGTGGCTTGATTGTTGTTTTGGCAAAGTGTGTCGCCGAAGCCACTATGTTTTCTGCGTTTTTATCTATAAGCACCTTCATAGCTCAGTTGGTAGAGCACATGACTTTAAGAAGTTCCTGAAATGCTGTGGTCCAAAGGTTGCTGGTTCAACTCCTGCTCCAAGCATCCAGTTGTCATTTGTATATGCACTGTTCATCCTTTTTCATTGACCAGGTGGCTTGATTGTTGTTTTGGCAAAGTGTGTCGCCGAAGCCACTATGTTTTCTGCGTTTTTATCTATAAGCACCTTCATAGCTCAGTTGGTAGAGCACATGACTTTAAGAAGTTCCTGAAATGCTGTGGTCCAAAGGTCGCTGGTTCAACTCCTGCTCCAAACACCAGATTTCATTGATTTATGCACTGTTCAACCTTTTTCATTGACCAGGTGCCTTGATTGTTGTGTTGGCAAAGTGTGTCGCCGAAGCCACTATGTTTTCTGCGTTTTCATCTATAAGCACCTTCATAGCTCAGTTGGTAGAGCACATGACTGTAAGAAGTTCCTGAAACGCTGTGGTCCAAAGGTCCCTGGTTCAACTCCAGCTCCAAGCACCAGATTTCATTTGTATATGCTCTGTTCATCCTTTTTCATTGACCAGGTGGCTTGATTGTTGTTTTGGCAAAGTGTGTCGCCGAAGCCACTATGTTTTCTGCGTTTTTATCTATAAGCACCTTCATAGCTCAGTTGGTAGAGCACATGACTTTAAGAAGTTCCTGAAACGCTGTGGTCCAAAGGTCGCTGGTTCAACTCCAGCTCCAAACACCAGATTTCATTTGTCTAAGCACTGTTCAACCTTTTTCATTGACCATGTGGGTCCAATTGTATTGTTGGCAAAGTGTGTCGCCGAAGCCACTATGTTTTCTGCGTTTTTATCTATAAGCACCTTCATAGCTCAGTTGGTAGAGCACATGACTTTAAGAAGTTCCTTAAACGCTGTGGTCCAAAGGACGCTGGTTCAACTCCAGCTCCAAACACCAGATTTCATTGGTGTATGCACTGTTCAACCTTTTTCATTGACCATGTTGGTTCAATAGTTATGTTGGCAAAGTGTGTCGCCGAAGCCACTATGTTTTCTGCGTTTTTATCTATAAGCACCTTCATAGCTCAGTTGGTAGAGCACATGACTTTAAGAAGTTCCTGAAACGCTGTGGTCCAAAGGTCGCTGGTTCAACTCCAGCTCCAAACACCAGATTTCATTTGTATATGCACTGTTCAACCTTTTTCATTGACCATGTTGGTTCAATAGTTATGTTGGCAAAGTGTGTCGCCGAAGCCACTATGTTTTCTGCGTTTTTATCTATAAGCACCTTCATAGCTCAGTTGGTAGAGCACATGACTTTAAGAAGTTCCTGAAACGCTGTGGTCCAAAGGTCGCTGGTTCAACTCTTGCTCCAAGCACCAGATTTCATTTGTATATGCACTGTTCATCCTTTTTCATTGACCAGGTGGCTTGATTGTTGTGTTGGCAAAGTGTGTCGCCGAAGCCACTATGTTTTCTAAGTTTTAATCTATAAGCACCTTCATAGCTCAGTTGGTAGAGCACATGACTTTAAGAAGTTTCGTAAAACGCTGTGGTCCAAAGGTCGCTGGTTCAACTCCAGCTCCAAGCACCAGATTTCATTTGTATATGCACTGTTCATCCTTTTTCATTGACCAGGTGGCTTGATTGTTGTTTTGGCAAAGTGTGTCGCCGAAGCCACTATGTTTTCTGCGTTTTTATCTATAAGCACCTTCATAGCTCAGTTGGTAGAGCACATGACTTTAAGAAGTTCCCGAAACGCTGTGGTCCAAAGGTCGCTGGTTCAACTCCTGCTCCAAACACCAGATTTCATTTGTCTAAGCACTGTTCAACCTTTTTCATTGACCATGTGGGTCCAATTGTATTGTTGGCAAAGTGTGTCGCCGAAGCCACTATGTTTTCTGCGTTTTTATCTATAAGCACCTTCATAGCTCAGTTGGTAGAGCACATGACTTTAAGAAGTTCCTTAAACGCTGTGGTCCAAAGGACGCTGGTTCAACTCCAGCTCCAAACACCAGATTTCATTGGTGTATGCACTGTTCAACCTTTTTCATTGACCATGTTGGTTCAATAGTTATGTTGGCAAAGTGTGTCGCCGAAGCCACTATGTTTTCTGCGTTTTTATCTATAAGCACCTTCATAGCTCAGTTGGTAGAGCACATGACTTTAAGAAGTTCCTGAAACGCTGTGGTCCAAAGGTCGCTGGTTCAACTCCAGCTCCAAACACCAGATTTCATTTGTATATGCACTGTTCAACCTTTTTCATTGACCATGTTGGTTCAATAGTTATGTTGGCAAAGTGTGTCGCCGAAGCCACTATGTTTTCTGCGTTTTTATCTATAAGCACCTTCATAGCTCAGTTGGTAGAGCACATGACTTTAAGAAGTTCCTGAAACGCTGTGGTCCAAAGGTCGCTGGTTCAACTCCTGCTCCAAACACCAGATTTCATTGGTCTATGCACTGTTACACCTTTTTCATTGACCATGTCGGTCCAATTGTATTGTTGGCAAAGTGTGTCGCCGAAGCCACTATGTTTTCTGCGTTTGTGTCCATAAGCACCTTCATAGCTCAGTTGGTAGAGCACATGACTTTAAGAAGTTCCTGAAACGCTGTGGTCCAAAGGACGCTGTTTCAACTCCTGCTCCAAACACCAGATTTCATTGGTGTATGCACTGTTCAACCTTTTTCATTGACCATGTTGGTTCAATAGTTATGTTTGCAAAGTGTGTCGCCGAAGCCACTATGTTTTCTGCGTTTTTATCTATAAGCACCTTCATAGCTCAGTTGGTAGAGCACATGACTTTAAGAAGTTCCTAAAACGCTGTGGTCCAAAGGTCGCTGGTTCAACTCCAGCTCCAAGCACCAGATTTCATTTGTATATGCACTGTTCATCCTTTTTCATTGACCAGGTGGCTTGATTGTTGTTTTGGCAAAGTGTGTCGCCGAAGCCACTATGTTTTCTGCGTTTTTATCTATAAGCACCTTCATAGCTCAGTTGGTAGAGCACATGACTTTAAGAAGTTCCCGAAACGCTGTGGTCCAAAGGTCGCTGGTTCAACTCCTGCTCCAAACACCAGATTTCATTTGTATATGCACTGTTCATCCTTTTTCATTGACCAGGTGGCTTGATTGTTGTTTTGGCAAAGTGTGTCGCCGAAGCCACTATGTTTTCTGCGTTTTTATCTATAAGCACCTTCATAGCTCAGTTGGTAGAGCACATGACTTTAAGAAGTTCCTGAAACGCTGTGGTCCAAAGGTCGCTGGTTCAACTCCAGCTCCAAACACCAGATTTCATTGGTGTATGCACTGTTCAACCTTTTTCATTGACCATGTTGGTTCAATAGTTATGTTGGCAAAGTGTGTCGCTGAAGCCACTATGTTTTCTGCGTTTCTATCTATAAGCACCTTCATAGCTCAGTTGGTAGAGCACATGACTTTAAGAAGTTCCTAAAACGCTGTGGTCCAAAGGTCCCTGGTTCAACTCCAGCTCCAAGCACCAGATTTCATTTGTATATGCACTGTTCATCCTTTTTCATTGACCAGGTGGCTTGATTGTTGTTTTGGCAAAGTGTGTCGCCGAAGCCACTATGTTTTCTGCGTTTTTATCTATAAGCACCTTCATAGCTCAGTTGGTAGAGCACATGACTTTAAGAAGTTCCTTAAACGCTGTGGTCCAAAGGACGCTGGTTCAACTCCAGCTCCAAACACCAGATTTCATTGGTGTATGCACTGTTCAACCTTTTTCATTGACCATGTTGGTTCAATAGTTATGTTGGCAAAGTGTGTCGCCGAAGCCACTATGTTTTCTGCGTTTTTATCTATAAGCACCTTCATAGCTCAGTTGGTAGAGCACATGACTTTAAGAAGTTCCTGAAACGCTGTGGTCCAAAGGTCGCTGGTTCAACTCCAGCTCCAAGCACCAGATTTCATTTGTATATGCACTGTTCATCCTTTTTCATTGACCAGGTGGCTTGATTGTTGTTTTGGCAAAGTGTGTCGCCGAAGCCACTATGTTTTCTGCGTTTTTATCTATAAGCACCTTCATAGCTCAGTTGGTAGAGCACATGACTTTAACAAGTTCCCGAAACGCTGTGGTCCAAAGGTCGCTGGTTCAACTCCTGCTCCAAACACCAGATTTCATTGGTCTATGCACTGTTCATCCTTTTTCATTGACCAGGTGGCTTGATTGTTGTTTTGGCAAAGTGTGTCGCCGAAGCCACTATGTTTTCTGCGTTTTTATCTATAAGCACCTTCATAGCTCAGTTGGTAGAGCACATGACTTTAAGAAGTTCCTTAAACCCTGTGGTCCAAAGGACGCTGGTTCAACTCCAGCTCCAAACACCACATTTCATTGGTCTATGCACTGTTCATCCTTTTTCATTGACCATGTTGGTTCAATAGTTATGTTGGCAAAGTGTGTCGCCGAAGCCACTATGTTTTCTGCGTTTTTATCTATAAGCACCTTCATAGCTCAGTTGGTAGAGCACATGACTTTAAGAAGTTCCTGAAACGCTGTGGTCCAAAGGTCGCTGCTTCAACTCCTGCTCCAAACACCAGATTTCATTGATTTATGCACTGTTCAACCTTTTTCATTGACCAGGTGGCTTGATTGTTGTGTTGGCAAAGTGTGTCGCCGAAGCCACTATGTTTTCTGCATTTTCATCTATAAGCACCTTCATAGCTCAGTTGGTAGAGCACATGACTGTAAGAAGTTCCTGAAACGCTGTGGTCCAAAGGTCCCTGGTTCAACTCCAGCTCCAAGCACCAGATTTCATTTGTATATGCACTGTTCATCCTTTTTCATTGACCAGGTGGCTTGATTGTTGTTTTGGCAAAGTGTGTCGCCGAAGCCACTATGTTTTCTGCGTTTTTATCTATAAGCACCTTCATAGCTCAGTTGGTAGAGCACATGACTTTAAGAAGTTCCTGAAACGCTGTGGTCCAAAGGTCGCTTGTTCAACTCCAGCTCCAAACACCAGATTTCATTGGTCTATGCACTGTTCAACCTTTTTCATTGACCAGGTGGCTTGATTGTTGTGTTGGCAAAGTGTGTCGCCGAAGCCACTATGTTTTCTGCGTTTTTATCTATAAGCACCTTCATAGCTCAGTTGGTAGAGCACATGACTTTAAGAAGTTCCTGAAACGCTGTGGTCCAAAGGTCGCTGGTTCAACTCCTGCTCCAAACAACAGATTTAATTTGTATATGCACTGTTCATCCTTTTTCATTGACCAGGTGGCTTGATTGTTGTTTTGGCAAAGTGTGTCGCCGAAGCCACTATGTTTTCTGCGTTTTTATCTATAAGCACCTTCATAGCTCAGTTGGTAGAGCACATGACTTTAAGAAGTTCCTGAAACGCTGTGGTCCAAAGGTCGCTGGTTCAACTCCTGCTCCAAACAACAGATTTCATTTGTATATGCACTGTTCATCCTTTTTCATTGACCAGGTGGCTTGATTGTTGTTTTGGCAAAGTGTGTCGCCGAAGCCACTATGTTTTCTGCGTTTTTATCTATAAGCACCTTCATAGCTCAGTTGGTAGAGCACATGACTTTAAGAAGTTCCTGAAACGCTGTGGTCCAAAGGTCGCTGGTTCAACTCCAGCTCCAAACACCAGATTTCATTGGTCTATGCACTGTTCAACCTTTTTCATTGACCATGTGGGTCCAATTGTATTGTTGGCAAAGTGTGTCGCCGAAGCCACTATGTTTTCTGCGTTTGTGTCTATAAGCACCTTCATAGCTCAGTTGGTAGAGCACATGACTTTAAGAAGTTCCTGAAACGCTGTGGTCCAAAGGTCGCTGGTTGAACTCCAGCTCCAAGCATCCAGTTGTCATTTGTATATGCACTGTTCAACCTTTTTCATTGACCAGGTGGCTTGATTGTTGTTTTGGCAAAGTGTGTCGCCGAAGCCACTATGTTTTCTGCGTTTTTATCTAAAAGGACCTTCATAGCTCAGTTGGTAGACCACATGACTTTAAGAAGTTCCTGAAATGCTGTGGTCCAAAGGTCGCTGGTTCAACTCCTGCTCCAAACACCAGATTTCATTGATTTATGCACTGTTCAACCTTTTTCATTGACCAGGTGGCTTGATTGTTGTGTTGGCAAAGTGTGTCGCCGAAGCCACTATGTTTTCTGCGTTTTCATCTATAAGCACCTTCATAGCTCAGTTGGTAGAGCACATGACTGTAAGAAGTTCCTGAAACGCTGTTGTCCAAAGGTCCCTGGTTCAACTCCAGCTCCAAGCACCAGATTTCATTTGTATATGCACTGTTCATCCTTTTTCATTGACCAGGTGGCTTGATTGTTGTTTTGGCAAAGTGTGTCGCCGAAGCCACTATGTTTTCTGCGTTTTTATCTATAAGCACCTTCATAGCTCAGTTGGTAGAGCACATGTGTTTAAGAAGTTCCTTAAACGCTGTGCTCCAAAGCTCCCTGGTTCAACTCCAGCTCCAAGCAACAGATTTCATTTGTATATGCACTGTTCATCCTTTTTCATTGACCAGGTGGCTTGATTGTTGTTTTGGCAAAGTGTGTCGCCGAAGCCACTATGTTTTCTGCGTTTTTATCTATAAGCACCTTCATAGCTCAGTTGGTAGAGCACATGACTTTAAGAAGTTCCTGAAACGCTATGGTCCTAAGGTCGCTGGTTCAACTCCAGCTCCAAGCATCCAGTTTTCATTTGTATATGCACTGTTCATCCTTTTTCATTGACCAGGTGGCTTGATTGTTGTTTTGGCAAAGTGTGTCGCCGAAGCCACTATGTTTTCTGCGTTTTTATCTAAAAGGACCTTCATAGCTCAGTTGGAAGAGCACATGACTTTAAGAAGTTCCTGAAATGCTGTGGTCCAAAGGTCGCTGGTTCAACTCCTGCTCCAAACACCAGATTTCATTCATTTATGCACTGTTCAACCTTTTTCATTGACCATGTTGGTTCAATAGTTATGTTGGCAAAGTGTGTCGCCGAAGCCACTATGTTTTCTGCGTTCTTATCTATAAGCACCTTCATAGCTCAGTTGGTAGAGCACATGACTTTAAGAAGTTCCTGAAACGCTGTGGTCCAAAGGTCGCTGGTTCAACTCCAGCTCCAAACACCAGATTTCATTTGTATATGCACTGTTCAACCTTTTTCATTGACCATGTTGGTTCAATAGTTATGTTGGCAAAGTGTGTCGCCGAAGCCACTATGTTTTCTGCGTTTTTATCTATAAGCACCTTCATAGCTCAGTTGGTAGAGCACATGACTTTAAGAAGTTCCTGAAACGCTGTGGTCCAAAGGTCGCTGGTTCAACTCCTGCTCCAAACAACAGATTTCATTGGTCTATGCACTGTTCAACCTTTTTCATTGACCATGTGGGTCCAATTGTATTGTTGGCAAAGTGTGTCGCCGAAGCCACTATGTTTTCTGCGTTTGTGTCTATAAGCACCTTCATAGCTCAGTTGGTAGAGCACATGACTTTAAGAAGTTCCTGAAACGCTGTGGTCCAAAGGACGCTGGTTTAACTCCTGCTCCAAACACCACATTTCATTGGTCTATGCACTGTTCAACCTTTTTCATTGACCATGTTGGTTCAATAGTTATGTTGGCAAAGTGTGTCGCCGAAGCCACTATGTTTTCTGCGTTTTTATCTATAAGCACCTTCATAGCTCAGTTGGTAGAGCACATGACTTTAAGAAGTTCCTGAAACGCTGTGGTCCAAAGGTCGCTGGTTCAACTCCAGTTCCAAGCACCCGATTTCATTTGTATATGCACTGTTCATCCTTTTTCATTGACCAGGTGGCTTGATTGTTGTTTTGGCAAAGTGTGTCGCCGAAGCCACTATGTTTTCTGCGTTTTTATCTATAAGCACCTTCATAGCTCAGTTGGTAGAGCACATGACTTTAAGAAGTTCCTGAAACGCTGTGGTCCAAAGGTCGCTGGTTCAACTCCAGCTCCAAGCACCAGATTTCATTTGTATATGCACTGTTCATCCTTTTTCATTGACCAGGTGGCTTGATTGTTGTTTTGGCAAAGTGTGTCGCCGAAGCTACTATGTTTTCTGCGTTTTTATCTATAAGCACCTTCATAGCTCAGTTGGTAGAGCACATGTGTTTAAGAAGTTCCTGAAACGCTGTGGTCCAAAGGTCGCTGGTTCAACTCCAGTTCCAAGCACCAGATTTCATTTGTATATGCACTGTTCATCCTTTTTCATTGACCAGGTGGCTTGATTGTTGTTTTGGCAAAGTGTGTCGCCGAAGCCACTATGTTTTCTGCGTTTTTATCTAAAAGGACCTTCATAGCTCAGTTGGTAGAGCACATGACTTTAAGAAGTTCCTAAAACGCTGTGGTCCAAAGGTCGCTGGTTCAACTCCAGCTCCAAACACCAGATTTCATTTGTGTATGCACTGTTCAACCTTTTTCATTGACCATGTTAGTTCAATAGTTATGTTGGCAAAGTGTGTCGCCGAAGCCACTATGTTTTCTGCGTTTTTATCTATAAGCACCTTCATAGCTCAGTTGGTAGAGCACATGACTTTAAGAAGTTCCTGAAATGCTGTGGTCCAAAGGTCGCTGCTTCAACTCCTGCTCCAAACACCAGATTTTATTGGTCTATGCACTGTTCAACCTTTTTCATTGACCAGGTGGCTTGATTGTTGTGTTGGCAAAGTGTGTCGCCGAAGCCACTATGTTTTCTGCGTTTTTATCTATAAGCACCTTCATAGCTCAGTTGGTAGAGCACATGACTTTAAGAAGTTCCTGAAACGCTGTGGTCCAAAGGTCTCTGGTTCAACTCCAGCTCCAAGCACCAGATTTCATTTGTATATGCACTGTTCATCCTTTTTCATTGACCAGGTGGCTTGATTGTTGTTTTGGCAAAGTGTGTCGCCGAAGCCACTATGTTTTCTGCGTTTTTATCTATAAGCACCTTCATAGCTCAGTTGGTAGAGCACATGACTTTAAGAAGTTCCTGAAACGCTGTGGTCCAAAGGTCGCTGGTTCAACTCCAGCTCCAAACACCAGATTTCATTGGTCTATGCACTGTTCAACCTTTTTCATTGACCATGTGGGTCCAATTGTATTGTTGGCAAAGTGTGTCGCCGAAGCCACTATGTTTTCTGCGTTTGTGTCTATAAGCACCTTCATAGCTCAGTTGGTAGAGCACATGACTTTAAGAAGTTCCTGAAACGCTGTGGTCCAAAGGTCGCTGGTTGAACTCCAGCTCCAAGCATCCAGTTGTCATTTGTATATGCACTGTTCAACCTTTTTCATTGACCAGGTGGCTTGATTGTTGTTTTGGCAAAGTGTGTCGCCGAAGCCACTATGTTTTCTGCGTTTTTATCTAAAAGGACCTTCATAGCTCAGTTGGTAGAGCACATGACTTTAAGAAGTTCCTGAAATGCTGTGGTCCAAAGGTCGCTGGTTCAACTCCTGCTCCAAACACCAGATTTCATTGATTTATGCACTGTTCAACCTTTTTCATTGACCAGGTGGCTTGATTGTTGTGTTGGCAAAGTGTGTCGCCGAAGCCACTATGTTTTCTGCGTTTTCATCTATAAGCACCTTCATAGCTCAGTTGGTAGAGCACATGACTGTAAGAAGTTCCTGAAACGCTGTTGTCCAAAGGTCCCTGGTTCAACTCCAGCTCCAAGCACCAGATTTCATTTGTATATGCACTGTTCATCCTTTTTCATTGACCAGGTGGCTTGATTGTTGTTTTGGCAAAGTGTGTCGCCGAAGCCACTATGTTTTCTGCGTTTTTATCTATAAGCACCTTCATAGCTCAGTTGGTAGAGCACATGACTGTAAGAAGTTCCTGAAACGCTGTGGTCCAAAGGTCGCTGGTTCAACTCCATCTCCAAACACCAGATTTCATTTGTCTAAGCACTGTTCAACCTTTTTCATTGACCATGTGGGTCCAATTGTATTGTTGGCAAAGTGTGTCGCCGAAGCCACTATGTTTTCTGCGTTTTTATCTATAAGCACCTTCATAGCTCAGTTGGTAGAGCACATGACTTTAAGAAGTTCCTTAAACGCTGTGGTCCAAAGGACGCTGGTTCAACTCCAGCTCCAAACACCAGATTTCATTGGTGTATGCACTGTTCAACCTTTTTCATTGACCATGTTGGTTCAATAGTTATGGTGGCAAAGTGTGTCGCCGAAGCCACTATGTTCTCTGCGTTTTTATCTATAAGCACCTTCATAGCTCAGTTGGTAGAGCACATGACTTTAAGAAGTTCCTGAAACGCTGTGGTCCAAAGGTTGCTGGTTCAACTCCAGCTCCAAACACCAGATTTCATTTGTATATGCACTGTTCAACCTTTTTCATTGACCATGTTGGTTCAATAGTTATGTTGGCAAAGTGTGTCGCCGAAGCCACTATGTTTTCTGCGTTTGTGTCTATAAGCACCTTCATAGCTCAGTTGGTAGAGCACATGACTTTAAGAAGTTCCTGAAACGCTGTGGTCCAAAGGACGCTGGTTCAACTCCTGCTTCAAACACCACATTTCATTGGTCTATGCACTGTTCAACCTTTTTCATTGACCATGTTGGATCAATAGTTATGTTGGCAAAGTGTGTCGCCGAAGCAACTATGTTTTCTGCGTTTTTATCTATAAGCACCTTCATAGCTCAGTTGGTAGAGCACATGACTTTAAGAAGTTCCTAAAACGCTGTGGTCCAAAGGTCGCTGGTTCAACTCCAGCTCCAACCACCAGATTTCATTTGTATATGCACTGTTCATCCTTTTTCATTGACCAGGTGGCCTGATTGTTGTTTTGGCAAAGTGTGTCGCCGAAGCCACTATGTTTTCTGCGTTTTTATCTATAAGCACCTTCATAGCTCAGTTGGTAGAGCACATGACTTTAAGAAGTTCCCGAAACGCTGTGGTCCAAAGGTCGCTTGTTCAACTCCTGCTCCAAACACCACATTTCATTGGTCTATGCACTGTTCAACCTTTTTCATTGACCAGGTGGCTTGATTATTGTGTTGGCAAAGTGTGTCGCCGAAGCCACTATGTTTTCTGCGTTTTCATCTATAAGCACCTTCATAGCTCAGTTGGTAGAGCACATGACTGTAAGAAGTTCCTGAAACGCTGTGGTCCAAAGGTCCCTCGTTCAACTCCAGCTCCAAGCACCAGATTTCATTTGTATATGCACTGTTCATCCTTTTTCATTGACCAGGTGGCTTGATTGTTGTTTTGGCAAAGTGTGTCGCCGAAGCCACTATGTTTTCTGCGTTTTTATCTATAAGCACCTTCATAGCTCAGTTGGTAGAGCACATGACTTTAAGAAGTTCCTTAAACGCTGTGGTCCAAAGGACGCTGGTTCGACTCCAGCTCCAAACACCAGATTTCATTGGTGTATGCACTGTTCAACCTTTTTCATTGACCATGTTGGTTCAATAGTTATGTTGGCAAAGTGTGTCGCCGAAGCCACTATGTTTTCTGCGTTCCTATCTATAACCACCTTCATAGCTCAGTTGCTAGAGCACATGACTTTAAGAAGTTCCTAAAAAGCTGTGGTCCAAACATCGCTGGTTCAACTCCAGCTCAAAACACCAGATTTCATTGGTGTATGCACTGTTCAACCTTTTTCATTGACCATGTGGGTCCAATAGTTATGTTGGCAAAGTGTGTCGCCGAAGCCACTATGTTTTCTGCGTTTGTGTCAATAAGCACCTTCATAGCTCAGTTGGTAGAGCACATGACTTTAAGAAGTTCCTGAAACGCTGTGGTCCAAAGGTCGCTAGTTCAACTCCAGCTCCAAACACCAGATTTCATTGGTGTATGCACTGTTCAACCTTTTTCATTGACCATGTTGGTTCAATAGTTATGTCAGCAAAGAGTGTCGCGGAAGCCACTATGTTTTCTGCGTTTGTGTCTATAAGCACCTTCATAGCTCATTTGGTAGAGCAGAGGACTTTAAGAAGTTCCTGAAACGCTGTGGTCCAAAGGTCGCTGGTTCAACTCCAGCTCCAAGCACCAAATTTCATTGGTATATGCACTGTTCATCCTTTTTCATTGACCATGTGGGTCCAATAGTTATGTCGGCAAAGTGTGTCGCCGAAGCCACTATGTTTTCTGCGGTTGTATCTATAAGCACCTTCATAGCTCAGTTGGTAGAGCACATGACTTTAAGAAGTTCCTTAAACGCTGTGGTCCAAAGGTCGCTGGTTCAACTCCTGCTCCAAACACCAGATTTCATTGGTCTATGCACTGTTCAACCTTTTTCATTGACCAGGTGGCTTGATTGTTGTGTTGGCAAAGTGTGTCGCCGAAGCCACTATGTTTTCTGCGTTTTCATCTATAAGCACCTTCATAGCTCAGTTGGTAGAGCACATGACTGTAAGAAGTTCCTGAAACGCTGTGGTCCAAAGGTCCCTGGTTCAACTCCTGCTCCAAGCACCAGATTTCATTTGTATATGCACTGTTCAACCTTTTTCATTGACCATGTGGGTCCAATAGTTATGTTGGCAAAGTGTGTCGCCGAAGCCACTATGTTTTCTGCGTTTTTATCTATAAGCACCTTCATAGCTCAGTTGGTAGAGCACATGACTTTAAGAAGTTCCTTAAACGCTGTGGTCCAAAGGACGCTGGTTCAACTCCAGCTCCAAACACCAGATTTCATTGGTGTATGCACTGTTCAACCTTTTTCATTGACCATGTTGGTTCAATAGTTATGTTGGCAAAGTGTGTCGCCGAAGCCACTATGTTTTCTGCGTTTGTGTCTATAAGCACCTTCATAGCTCAGTTGGTAGAGCACATGACTTTAAGAAGTTCCTGAAACGCTGTGGTCCAAAGGTTGCTGTTTCAACTCCAGCTCCAAGCACCAGATTTCATTTGTATATGCACTGTTCAACCTTTTTCATTGACCATGTTGGTTCAATAGTTATGTTGGCAAAGTGTGTCGCCGAAGCCACTATGTTTTCTGCGGTTTTATTTATAAGCACCTTCATAGCTCAGTTGGTAGAGCACATGACTTTAAGAAGTTCCTGAAACGCTGTGGTCCAAAGGTCGCTGGTTCAACTCCTGCTCCAAACACCAGATTTCATTGGTTTATGCACTGTTCAACCTTTTTCATTGACCATGTTGGTTCAATAGTTATGTCGGCAAAGAGTGTCGCGGAAGCCACTATGTTTTCTGCGTTTGTGTCTATAAGCACCTTCATAGCTCATTTGGTAGAGCAGAGGACTTTAAGAAGTTCCTGAAACGCTGTGGTCCAAAGGTTGCTGGTTCAACTCCAGCTCCAAGCACCAGATTTCATTGGTATATGCACTGTTCATCCTTTTTCATTGACCATGTGGGTCCAATAGTTATGTCGGCAAAGTGTGTCGCCGAAGCCACTATGTTTTCTGCGGTTGTATCTATAAGCACCTTCATAGCTCAGTTGGTAGACCACATGACTTTAAGAAGTTCCTGAAACGCTGTGGTCCAAAGGTCCCTGGTTCATCTAGCTCCAATCACCAGATTTCATTTGTATATGCACTGTTCATCCTTTTTCAATGACCAGGTGGCTTGATTGTTGTTTTGGCAAAGTGTGTCGCCGAAGCCACTATGTTTTCTGCGTTTTCATCTATAAGCACCTTCATAGCTCAGTTGGTAGAGCACATGACTTTAAGAAGTTCCCGAAACGCTGTGGTCCAAAGGTCGCTGGTTCAACTCCAGCTCCAAGCATCCAGTTGTCATTTGTATATGCACTGTTCATCCTTTTTCATTGACCAGGTGGCTTGATTGTTGTTTTGGCAAAGTGTGTCGCCGAAGCCACTATGTTTTCTGCGTTTTCATCTATAAGCACCTTCATAGCTCAGTTGGTAGAGCACATGACTTTAAGAAGTTCCTGAAACGCTGTGGTCCAAAGGTCGCTGGTTCAACTCTTGCTCCAAACACCACATTTCATTGGTCTATGCACTGTTCAACCTTTTTCATTGACCATGTGGGTCCAATTGTATTGTTTGCAAAGTGTGTCGCCGAAGCCACTATGTTTTCTGCGTTTTTATCTATAAGCACCTTCATAGCTCAGTTGGTAGAGCACATGACTTTAAGAAGTTCCTGAAACGCTGTGGTCCAAAGGATGCTGGTTCAACTCCAGCTCCAAACACCAGATTTCATTGTTGTATGCACTGTTCAACCTTTTTCATTGACCATGTTGGTTCAATAGTTATGTTTGCAAAGTGTGTCGCCGAAGCCACTATGTTTTCTGCTATGTGTTTATAAAAACCTTCATAGCTCAGATTGTAGAGCACATGACTTTAAGAAGTTCCTGAATCGCTGTGGTCCAAAGGTCGCTGGTTCAACTCCAGCTCCAAGCACCAGATTTCATTTGTATATGCACTGTTCATCCTTTTTCATTGACCATGTTGGTTCAATAGTTATGTTGGCAAAGTGTGTCGCCGAAGCCACTATGTTTTCTGCGTTTTTATCTATTAGCACCTTCATAGCTCAGTTGGTAGAGCACATGACTTTAAGAAGTTCCTAAAACGCTGTGGTCCAAAGGTCGCTGGTTCAACTCCAGCTCCAAGCACCAGATTTCATTTGTATATGCACTGTTCATCCTTTTTCATTGACCAGGTGGCTTTATTGTTGTTTTGGCAAAGTGTGTCGTCGAAGCCACTATGTTTTCTGCGTTTTTATCTATAAGCACCTTCATAGCTCAGTTGGTAGAGCACATGACTTTAAGAAGTTCCCGAAACGCTGTGGTCCAAAGGTCGCTGGTTCAACTCCAGCTCCAAGCATCCAGTTGTCATTTGTATATGCACTGTTCATCCTTTTTCATTGACCAGGTGGCTTGATTGTTGTGTTGGCAAAGTGTGTCGCCAAAAGCCACTATGTTTTCTGCGTTTTCATCTATAAGCACCTTCATAGCTCAGTTGGTAGAGCACATGACTTTAAGAAGTTCCTGAAACGCTGTGGTCCAAAGGTCCCTGGTTCATCTAGCTCCAATCACCAGATTTCATTTGTATATGCACTGTTCATCCTTTTTCAATGACCAGGTGGCTTGATTGTTGTTTTGGCAAAGTGTGTCGCCGAAGCCACTATGTTTTCTGCGTTTTCATCCTTCATAGCTCTGTTGCTAGAGCACATGACTTTAAGAAGTTCCTGTAAGGCTGTGGTCCAAAGGTCGCTGGTTCAACTCCTGCTCCAAACACCAGATTTCATTGGTCTAAGCACTGTTCAACCTTTTTCATTGACCAGGTGGCTTGATTGTTGTGTTGGCAAAGTGTGTCACCGAAGCCACTATGTTTTCTGCGTTTGTGTCTATAAGCACCTTCATAGCTCAGTTGGTAGAGCACATGACTGTAAGCAGTTCCTGAAACGCTGTGGTCCAAAGGTCCCTGGTTCAACTCCAGCTCCAAGCACCAGATTTCATTTGTATATGCACTGTTCAACCTTTTTCATTGACCATGTTGGTTCAATAGTTATGTTGGCAAAGTGTGTCGCCGAAGCCACTATGTTTTCTGCGTTTTTATCTATAAGCACCTTCATAGCTCAGTTGGTAGAGCACATGACTTTAAGAAGTTCCTGAAACGCTGTGGTCCAAAGGTCCCTGGTTCAACTCCAGCTCCAAGCACCAGATTTCATTTGTATATGCACTGTTCATCCTTTTTCATTGACCAGGTGGCTTGATTGTTGTTTTGGCAAAGTGTGTCGCCGAAGCCACTATGTTTTCTGCGTTTTTATCTATAAGCACCTTCATAGCTCAGTTGGTAGAGCACATGACTTTAAGAAGTTCCTGAAACGCTGTGGTCCAAAGGTCGCTGGTTGAACTCCTGCTCCAAACACCAGATTTCATTTGTCTAAGCACTGTTCAACCTTTTTCATTGACCATGTGGGTCCAATTGTATTGTTGGCAAAGTGTGTCGCCGAAGCCACTATGTTTTCTGCGTTTTTATCTATAAGCACCTTCATAGCTCAGTTGGTAGAGCACATGACTTTAAGAAGTTCCTGAAACGCTGTGGTCCAAAGGTCCCTGGTTCAACTCCAGCTCCAAGCACCAGATTTCATTTGTATATGCACTATTCATCCTTTTTCATTGACCAGGTGGCTTGATTGTTGTTTTGGCAAAGTGTGTCGCCGAAGCCACTATGTTTTCTGCGTTTTTATCTATAAGCACCTTCATAGCTCAGTTGGTAGAGCACATGACTTTAAGAAGTTCCTGAAACGCTGTTGTCCAAAGGTCGCTGGTTCAACTCCTGCTCCAAACACCAGATTTCATTTGTCTAAGCACTGTTCAACCTTTTTCATTGACCATGTGGGTCCAATTGTATTGTTGGAAAAGTGTGTCGCCGAAGCCACTATGTTTTCTGCGTTTTTATCTATAAGCACCTTCATAGCTCAGTTGGTAGAGCACATGACTTTAAGAAGTTCCTGAAACGCTGTGGTCCAAAGGACGCTGGTTCAACTCCAGCTCCAAGCACCAGATTTCATTGGTGTATGCACTGTTCAACCTTTTTCATTGACCATGTTGGTTCAATAGTTATGTTGGCAAAGTGTGTCGCCGAAGCCACTATGTTTTCTGCGTTTTTATCTATAAGCACCTTCATAGCTCAGTTGGTAGAGCACATGACTTTAAGAAGTTCCTGAAACGCTGTGGTCCAAAGGTCCCTGGTTCAACTCCAGCTCCAAGCACCAGATTTCATTTGTATATGCACTGTTCATCCTTTTTCATTGACCATGTTGGTTCAATAGTTATGTTGGCAAAGTGTGTCGCCGAAGCCACTATGTTTTCTGCGTTTTTATCTATAAGCACCTTCATAGCTCAGTTGGTAGAGCACATGACTTTAAGAAGTTCCTGAAACGCTGTGGTCCAAAGGACGCTGGTTCAACTCCTGCTCCAAACACCAGATTTCATTGGTCTATGCACTGTTCAACCTTTTTCATTGACCATGTGGGTCCAATTGTATTGTTGGCAAAGTGTGTCGCCGAAGCCACTATGTTTTCTGCGTTTGTGTCTATAAGCACCTTCATAGCTCATTTGGTAGAGCACATGACTTTAAGAAGTTCCTGAAACGCTGTGGTCCAAAGGACGCTGGTTCAACTCCTGCTCCAAACACCACATTTCATTGGTCTATGCACTGTTCAACCTTTTTCATTGACCATGTTGGTTCAATAGTTATGTTGGCAAAGTGTGTCGCCGAAGCCACTATGTTTTCTGCGTTTTTATCTATAAGCACCTTCATAGCTCAGTTGGTAGAGCACATGACTTTAAGAAGTTCCTAAAACGCTGTGGTCCAAAGGTCGCTGGTTCAACTCCAGCTCCAAGCACCAGATTTCATTTGTATATGCACTGTTCATCCTTTTTCATTGACCACGTGGCTTGATTGTTGTTTTGGCAAAGTGTGTCGCCGAAGCCACTATGTTTTCTGCGTTTTTATCTATAAGCACCTTCATAGCTCAGTTGGTAGAGCACATGACTTTAAGAAGTTCCCGAAACGCTGTGGTCCAAAGGTCGCTGGTTCAACTCCTGCTCCAAACACCACATTTCATTGGTCTATGCACTGTTCATCCTTTTTCATTGACCAGGTGGCTTGATTGTTGTTTTGGCAAAGTGTGTCGCCGAAGCCACTATGTTTTCTGCGTTTTTATCTATAAGCACCTTCATAGCTCAGTTGGTAGAGCACATGACTTTAAGAAGTTCCTGAAACGCTGTGGTCCAAAGGTCGCTTGTTCAACTCCTGCTCCAAACACCAGATTTCATTGGTCTATGCACTGTTCAACCTTTTTCATTGACCAGGTGGCTTGATTGTTGTGTTGGCAAAGTGTGTCGCCGAAGCCACTATGTTTTCTGCGTTTTCATCTATAAGCACCTTCATAGCTCAGTTGGTAGAGCACATGACTGTAAGAAGTTCCTGAAACGCTGTGGTCCAAAGGTCCCTGGTTCAACTCCAGCTCCAAGCACCAGATTTCATTTGTATATGCACTGTTCATCCTTTTTCATTGACCAGGTGGCTTGATTGTTGTCTTGGCAAAGTGTGTCGCCGAAGCCACTATGTTTTCTGCGTTTTTATCTATAAGCACCTTCATAGCTCAGTTGGTAGAGCACATGACTTTAAGAAGTTCCTTAAACGCTGTGGTCCAAAGGACGCTGGTTCAACTCCAGCTCCAAACACCAGATTTCATTGGTGTATGCACTGTTCAACCTTTTTCATTGACCATGTTGGTTCAATAGTTATGTTGGCAAAGTGTGTCGCCGAAGCCACTATGTTTTCTGCGTTTGTGTCTATAAGCACCTTCATAGCTCAGTTGGTAGAGCACATCACTTTAAGAAGTTCCTAAAAAGCTGTGGTCCAAACATCGCTGGTTCAACTCCAGCTCCAAACACCAGATTTCATTGGTGTATGCACTGTTCAACCTTTTTCATTGACCATGTGGGTCCAATAGTTATGTTGGCAAAGTGTGTCGCCGAAGCTACTATGTTTTCTGCGTTTGTGTCAATAAGCACCTTCATAGCTCAGTTGGTAGATCACATGACTTTAAGAAGTTCCTGAAACGCTGTTGTCCAAAGGTCGCTAGTTCAACTCCAGCTCCAAACACCAGATTTCATTGGTGTATGCACTGTTCAACCTTTTTCATTGACCATGTTGGTTCAATAGTTATGTCGGCAAAGAGTGTCGCGGAAGCCACTATGTTTTCTGCGTTTGTGTCTATAAGCACCTTCATAGCTCATTTGGTAGAGCAGAGGACTTTAAGAAGTTCCTGAAACGCTGTGGTCCAAAGGTCCCTGGTTCAACTCCAGCTCCAAGCACCAGATTTCATTGGTATATGCACTGTTCATCCTTTTTCATTGACCATGTGGGTCCAATAGTTATGTCGGCAAAGTGTGTCGCCGAAGCCACTATGTTTTCTGCGGTTGTATCTATAAGCACCTTCATAGCTCAGTTGGTAGAGCACATGACTTTAAGAAGTTCCTGAAACGCTGTGGTCCAAAGGACGCTGGTTCATCTAGCTCCAATCACCAGATTTCATTTGTATATGCACTGTTCATCCTTTTTCAATGACCAGGTGGCTTGATTGTTGTTTTGGCAAAGTGTGTCGCCGAAGCCACTATGTTTTCTGCGTTTTCATCTATAAGCACCTTCATATCTCTGTTGCTAGAGCACATGACTTTAAGAAGTTCCTGTAAGGCTGTGGTCCAAAGGTCGCTGGTTCAACTCCTGCTCCAAACACCAGATTTCATTGGTCTAAGCACTGTTCAACCTTTTTCATTGACCAGGTGGCTTGATTGTTGTGTTGGCAAAGTGTGTCGCCGAAGCCACTATGTTTTCTGCGTTTGTTTCTATAAGCACCTTCATAGCTCAGTTGGTAGAGCACATGACTGTAAGAAGTTCCTGAAACGCTGTGGTCTAAAGGTCCCTGGTTCAACTCCTCCTCCAAGCACCAGATTTCATTTGTATATGCACTGTTCAACCTTTTTCATTGACCAGGTGGCTTGATTGTTGTTTTGGCAAAGTGTGTCGCCGAAGCCACTATGTTTTCTGCGTTTTTATCTATAAGCACCTTCATAGCTCAGTTGGTAGAGCACATGACTTTAAGAAGTTCCTTAAACGCTGTGGTCCAAAGGACGCTGGTTCAACTCCAGCTCCAAACACCAGATTTCATTGTTGTATGCACTGTTCAACCTTTTTCATTGACCATGTTGGTTCAATAGTTATGTTTGCAAAGTGTGTCGCCGAAGCCACTATGTTTTCTGCTATGTGTTTATAAAAACCTTCATAGCTCAGATTGTAGAGCACATGACTTTAAGAAGTTCCTGAATCGCTGTGGTCCAAAGGTCGCTGGTTCAACTCCAGCTCCAAGCACCAGATTTCATTTGTATATGCACTGTTCATCCTTTTTCATTGACCATGTTGGTTCAATAGTTATGTTGGCAAAGTGTGTCGCCGAAGCCACTATGTTTTCTGCTATGTGTTTATAAGCACCTTCAAAGCTCAGTTGGTAGAGCACATGACTTTAAGAAGTTCCTGAAACGCTGTGGTCCAAAGGTCGCTGGTTCAACTCCAGCTCCAAGCACCAGATTTCATTTGTATATGCACTCTTCATCCTTTTTCATTGACCAGGTGGCTTGATTGTTGTTTTGGCAAAGTGTGTCGCCGAAGCCACTATGTTTTCTGCGTTTTTATCTATAAGCACCTTCATAGCTCAGTTGGTGGAGCACATGACTTTAAGAAGTTCCTGAAACGCTGTGGTCCAAAGGTCGCTGGTTCAACTCCTGCTCCAAACACCAGATTTCATTGGTCTATGCACTGTTCAACCTTTTTCATTGACCATGTGGGTCCAATTGTATTGTTGGCAAAGTGTGTCGCCGAAGCCACTATGTTTTCTGCGTTTGTGTCTATAAGCACCTTCATAGCTCAGTTGGTAGAGCACATGACTTTGAGAAGTTCCTGAAACGCTGTGGTCCAAAGGACGCTGGTTCAACTCCTGCTCCAAACACCACATTTCATTGGTCTATGCACTGTTCAACCTTTTTCATTGACCATGTTGGTTCAATAGTTATGTTGGCAAAGTGTGTCGCCGAAGCCACTATGTTTTCTGCGTTTTTATCTATAAGCACCTTCATAGCTCAGTTGGTAGAGCACATGACTTTAAGAAGTTCCTAAAACGCTGTGGTCGAAAGGTCGCTGGTTCAACTCCAGCTCCAAGCACCACATTTCATTTGTATATGCACTGTTCATCCTTTTTCATTGACCAGGTGGCTTGATTGTTGTTTTGGCAAAGTGTGTCGCCGAAGCCACTATGTTTTCTGCGTTTTTATCTATAAGCACCTTCATAGCTCAGTTGGTAGAGCACATGACTTTAAGAAGTTCCCGAAACGCTGTGGTCCAAAGGTCGCTGGTTCAACTCCAGCTCCAAGCATCCAGTTGTCATTTGTATATGCACTGTTCATCCTTTTTCATTGACCAGGTGGCTTGATTGTTGTGTTGGCAAAGTGTGTCGCCGAAGCCACTATGTTTTCTGCGTTTTCATCTATAAGCACCTTCATAGCTCAGTTGGTAGAGCACATGACTTTAAGAAGTTCCTGAAACGCTGTGGTCCAAAGGTCCCTGGTTCATCTAGCTCCAATCACCAGATTTCATTTGTATATGCACTGTTCATCCTTTTTCAATGACCAGGTGGCTTGATTGTTGTTTTGGCAAAGTGTGTCGCCGAAGCCACTATGTTTTCTGCGTTTTCATCTATAAGCACCTTCATAGCTCTGTTGCTAGAGCACATGACTTTAAGAAGTTCCTGTAAGGCTGTGGTCCAAAGGTCGCTGGTTCAACTCCTGCTCCAAACACCAGATTTCATTGGTCTAAGCACTGTTCAACCTTTTTCATTGACCAGGTGGCTTGATTGTTGTGTTGGCAAAGTGTGTCGCCGAAGCCACTATGTTTTCTGCGTCTTTATCTATAAGCACCTTCATAGCTCAGTTGGTAGAGCACATGACTGTAAGAAGTTCCTGAAACGCTGTGGTCCAAAGGTCCCTGGTTCAACTCCAGCTCCAAGCACCAGATTTCATTTGTATATGCACTGTTCAACCTTTTTCATTGACCATGTTGGTTCAATAGTTATGTTGGCAAAGTGTGTTGCCGAAGCCACTATGTTTTCTGCGTCTTTATCTATAAGCACCTTCATAGCTCAGTTGGTAGAGCACATGACTTTAAGAAGTTCCTGAAACGCTGTGGTCCAAAGGTCCCTGGTTCAACTCCAGCTCCAAGCACCAGATTTCATTTGTATATGCACTGTTCATCCTTTTTCATTGACCAGGTGGCTTGATTGTTGTTTTGGCAAAGTGTGTCGCCGAAGCCACTATGTTTTTTGCGTTTTTATCTATAAGCACCTTCATAGCTCATTTGGTAGAGCACATGACTTTAAGAAGTTCTTGAAACGCTGTGGTCCAAAGGTCGCTGGTTCAACTCCTGCTCCAAACACCAGATTTCATTGGTCTATGCACTGTTCAACCTTTTTCATTGACCAGGTGGCTTGATTGTTGTGTTGGCAAAGTGTGTCGCCGAAGCCACTATGTTTTCTGCGTTTTTCATCTATAAGCACCTTCATAGCTCAGTTGGTAGAGCACATGACTGTAAGAAGTTCCTGAAACGCTGTGGTCCAAAGGTCCCTGGTTCAACTCCAGCTCCAAGCACCAGATTTCATTTGTATATGCACTGTTCATCCTTTTTCATTGACCAGGTGCCTTGATTGTTGTGTTGGCAAAGTGTGTCGCCGAAGCCACTATGTTTTCTGCGTTTTTATCTATTAGCACCTTCATAGCTCCGTTGGTAGAGCAAATGACTTTAAGAAGTTCCTGAAACGCTGTGGTCCAAAGGACGCTGGTTCAACTCCTGCTCCAAACACCAGATTTCATTGGTCTATGCACTGTTCAACCTTTTTCATTGACCAGGTGGCTTGATTGTTGTGTTGGCAAAGTGTGTCGCCGAAGCCACTATGTTTTCTGCGGTTGTGTCTGTAAGCACCTTCATAGCTCAGTTTGTAGAGCACATGACATTAAGAAGTTCCTGAAACGCTGTGGTCCAAAGGTCGCTGGTTCAACTCCAGCTCCAAACACCAGATTTTATTCGTGTATGCACTGTTCAACCTTTTTCATTGACCATGTTGCTTCAATAGTTATGTTGGCAAAGTGTGTCGCCGAAGGCACTATGTTTTCTGCGGTTTTTTTCTATAAGCACCTTCATAGCTCAGTTGGTAGAGCAGAGGACTGTAAGAAGTTCCTGAAACGCTGTGGTCCAAAGGTCGCTGGTTCAACTCCAGCTCCAAACACCAGATTTTATTCGTGTATGCATTGTTCAACCTTTTTCATTGACCATGTGGGTCTAATTGTATTGTTGGCAAAGTGTGTCGCCGAAGGCACTATGTTTTCTGTGTTTTTTTCTATAAGCACCTTCATAGCTCAGTTGGTAGAGCACATGACTTTAAGAAGTTCCTGAAATGCTGTGGTCCAAAGGTTGCTGGTTCAACTCCTGCTCCAAACACCAGATTTCATTGGTCTATGCACTGTTCAACCTTTTTCATTGACCATGTGGGTCCAATTGTATTGTTGGCAAAGTGTGTCGCCAAAGCCACTATGTTTTCTGCGGTTGTATCTATAAGCACTTTCATAGCTCACTTGGTAGAGCACATGACTGTAAGAAGTTCCTGAAACGCTGTGCTCCAAAGGTCGCTGGTTCAACTCCTGCTCCAAACACCAGATTTCATTTGTCTATGCACTGTTCAACCTTTTTCATTGACCATGTGGTTCCAATTGTTGTGTTGGCAAAGTGTGTCGCCGAAGCCACTATGTTTTCTGCGTTTGTGTCAGTAAGCACCTTCATAGCTCAGTTGGTAGAGCACATGACTTTAAGAAGTTTCTGAAACGCTGTCGTCCAAAGGTCGCTGGTTCAACTCCAGCTCCAAGCACCAGATTTCATTGGTGTATGCACTGTTCAACCTTTTTCATTGACCAGGTGGCTTGATTGTTGTGTTGGCAAAGTGTGTCGCCGAAGCCACTATGTTTTCTGCGTCTTTATCTATAAGCACCTTCATAGCTCAGTTGGTAGAGCACATGACTGTAAGAAGTTCCTGAAACGCTGTGGTCCAAAGGTCCCTGGTTCAACTCCAGCTCCAAGCACCAGATTTCATTTGTATATGCACTGTTCATCCTTTTTCATTGACCAGGTGCCTTGATTGTTGTGTTGGCAAAGTGTGTCGCCGAAGCCACTATGTTTTCTGCGTTTTTATCTATTAGCACCTTCATAGCTCCGTTGGTAGAGCAAATGACTTTAAGAAGTTCCTGAAACGCTGTGGTCCAAAGGACGCTGGTTCAACTCCTGCTCCAAACACCAGATTTCATTGGTCTATGCACTGTTCAACCTTTTTCATTGACCAGGTGGCTTGATTGTTGTGTTGGCAAAGTGTGTCGCCGAAGCCACTATGTTTTCTGCGGTTGTGTCTGTAAGCACCTTCATAGCTCAGTTTGTAGAGCACATGACATTAAGAAGTTCCTGAAACGCTGTGGTCCAAAGGTCGCTGGTTCAACTCCAGCTCCAAACACCAGATTTTATTCTTGTATGCACTGTTCAACCTTTTTCATTGACCATGTTGCTTCAATAGATATGTTGGCAAAGTGTGTCGCCGAAGGCACTATGTTTTCTGCGGTTTTTTTCTATAAGCACCTTCATAGCTCAGTTGGTAGAGCAGAGGACTGTAAGAAGTTCCTGAAACGCTGTGGTCCAAAGGTCGCTGGTTCAACTCCAGCTCCAAACACCAGATTTTATTCGTGTATGCATTGTTCAACCTTTTTCATTGACCATGTGGGTCTAATTGTATTGTTGGCAAAGTGTGTCGCCGAAGGCACTATGTTTTCTGTGTTTTTTTCTATAAGCACCTTCATAGCTCAGTTGGTAGAGCACATGACTTTAAGAAGTTCCTGAAATGCTGTGGTCCAAAGGTTGCTGGTTCAACTCCTGCTCCAAACACCAGATTTCATTGGTCTATGCACTGTTCAACCTTTTTCATTGACCATGTGGGTCCAATTGTATTGTTGGCAAAGTGTGTCGCCAAAGCCACTATGTTTTCTGCGGTTGTATCTATAAGCACTTTCATAGCTCACTTGGTAGAGCACATGACTGTAAGAAGTTCCTGAAACGCTGTGCTCCAAAGGTCGCTGGTTCAACTCCTGCTCCAAACACCAGATTTCATTTGTCTATGCACTGTTCAACCTTTTTCATTGACCATGTGGTTCCAATTGTTGTGTTGGCAAAGTGTGTCGCCGAAGCCACTATGTTTTCTGCGTTTGTGTCAGTAAGCACCTTCATAGCTCAGTTGGTAGAGCACATGACTTTAAGAAGTTTCTGAAACGCTGTCGTCCAAAGGTCGCTGGTTCAACTCCAGCTCCAAGCACCAGATTTCATTGGTGTATGCACTGTTCAACCTTTTTCATTGACCAGGTGGCTTGATTGTTGTGTTGGCAAAGTGTGTCGCCGAAGCCACTATGTTTTCTGCGTCTTTATCTATAAGCACCTTCATAGCTCAGTTGGTAGAGCACATGACTGTAAGAAGTTCCTGCTGTTGTGTCTGTAAGCACCTTCATAGCTCAGTTGATAGAGCACATGTGTTTAAGAAGTTCCTGAAATGCTGTGGTCCAAAGGTCGCTGGTTCAACTCCAGCTCCAAGCACCAGATTTCATTTGTATATGCACTGTTCATCCTTTTTCATTGACCAGGTGGCTTGATTGTTGTTTTGGCAAAGTGTGTCGCCGAAGCCACTATGTTTTCTGCGTTTTCATCTATAAGCACCTTCATAGCTCAGTTGGTAGAGCACATGACTGTAAGAAGTTCCTGAAACGCTGTGGTCCAAAGGTCGCTGGTTCAACTCCTGCTCCAAACACCAGATTTTATTCTTGTATGCACTGTTCAACCTTTTTCATTGACCATGTGGTTCCAATTGTATTGTTGGCAAAGTGTGTCGCCGAAGCCACTATGTTTTCTGCGTTTGTGTCTATAAGCACTTTCATAGCTCAGTTGGTCGAGCAGAGGACTGTAAGAAGTTCCTGAAACGCTGTGGTCCAAAGGTCGCTGGTTCAACTCCTGCTCCAAACACCAGATTTCATTTGTCTATGCACTGTTCAACCTTTTTCATTGACCATGTGGTTCCAATTGTTGTGTTGGCAAAGTGTGTCGCCGAAGCCACTATGTTTTCTGCGTTTGTGTCAGTAAGCACCTTCATAGCTCAGTTGGTAGAGCACATGACTTTAAGAAGTTTCTGAAACGCTGTCGTCCAAAGGTCGCTGGTTCAACTCCAGCTCCAAGCACCAGATTTCATTGGTGTATGCACTGTTCAACCTTTTTCATTGACCATGTGGCTTGATTGTTGTGTTGGCAAAGTGTGTCGCCGAAGCCACTATGTTTTCTGCTGTTGTGTCTGTAAGCACCTTCATAGCTCAGTTGATAGAGCACATGTGTTTAAGAAGTTCCTGAAACGCTGTGGTCCAAAGGTCGCTGGTTCAACTCCAGCTCCAAGCACCAGATTTCATTTGTATATGCACTGTTCATCCTTTTTCATTGACCAGGTGGCTTGATTGTTGTTTTGGCAAAGTGTGTCGCCGAAGCCACTATGTTTTCTGCGTTTTCATCTATAAGCACCTTCATAGCTCAGTTGGTAGAGCACATGACTGTAAGAAGTTCCTTAAACGCTGTGGTCCAAAGGTCCCTGGTTCAACTCCAGCTCCAAGCACCGGATTTCATTTGTATATGCACTGTTCATCCTTTTTCATTGACCAGGTGGCTTCATTGTTGTGTTGGCAAAGTGTGTCGCCGAAGCCACTATGTTTTCTGCGTTTTTATCTATAAGTACCTTCATAGCTCAGTTGGTAGAGCACATGACTTTAAGAAGTTCCTGAAACGCTGTGGTCCAAAGGTTGCTGGTTCAACTCCAGCTCCAAGCACCAGATTTCATTTGTATGTGCACTGTTCATCCTTTTTCATTGACCAGGTGGCTTGATTGTTGTTTTGGCAAAGTGTGTCGCCGAAGCCACTATGTTTTCTGCGTTTGTGTCTATAAGCATTTTCATAGCTCAGTTGGTCGAGCAGAGGACTGTAAGAAGTTCCTGAAACGCTGTGGTCCAAAGGTCGCTGGTTCAACTCCTGCTCCAAACACCAGATTTCATTTGTCTATGCACTGTTCAACCTTTTTCATTGACCATGTGGTTCCAATTGTTGTGTTGGCAAAGTGTGTCGCCGAAGCCACTATGTTTTCTGCGTTTGTGTCAGTAAGCACCTTCATAGCTCAGTTGGTAGAGCACATGACTTTAAGAAGTTTCTGAAACGCTGTCGTCCAAAGGTCGCTGGTTCAACTCCAGCTCCAAGCACCAGATTTCATTCGTGTATGCACTGTTCAACCTTTTTCATTGACCATGTTGCTTCAATAGTTATGTTGGCAAAGTGTGTCGCCGAAGCCACTATGTTTTCTGCGTTTTTTTCTATAAGCACCTTCATAGCTCAGTTGGTAGAGCAGAGGACTGTAAGAATTTCCTGAAACGCTGTGGTCCAAAGGTCGCTGGTTCAACTCCAGCTCCAAACACCAGATTTTATTCGTGTATGCACTGTTCAACCTTTTTCATTGACCATGTGGGTCCAATTGTATTGTTGGCAAAGTGTGTCGCCGAAGGCACTATGTTTTCTGTGTTTCTTTCTATAAGCACCTTCATAGCTCAGTTGGTAGAGCACATGACTTAAAGAAGTTCCTGAAACGCTGTGGTCCAAAGGTCGCTGGTTCAACTCCTGCTCCAAACACCAGATTTCATTCGTCTATGCACTGTTCAACCTTTTTCATTGACCATGTGGGTCCAATTGTATTGTTGGCAAAGTGTGTCGCCAAAGCCACTATGTTTTCTGCGGTCGTATCTATAAGCACCTTCATAGCTCAGTTGGTAGAGCACATGACTTTAAGAAGTTCCTGAAACGCTCTGGTCCAAAGGTCGCTGGTTCAACTCCTGCTCCAAACACCAGATTTTATTCGTCTATGCACTGTTCAACCTTTTTCATTGACCATGTGGTTCCAAATGTATTGTTGGCAAAGTGTGTCGCCGAAGCCACTATGTTTTCTGCGTTTGTGTCTATAAGCACTTTCATAGCTCAGTTGGTCGAGCAGAGGACTGTAAGAAGTTCCTAGAAACGCTGTGGTCCAAAGGTTGCAGGTTCAACTCCAGCTCCAAACACCAGATTTTATTCGTGTATGCACTGTTCAAACTTTTTCATTGACCATGTGCGTCCAATAGTAATGTTGGCAAAGTGTGTCGTCTCAGCCACTATGTTTTCTGTGGTTGTGTCTGTAAGCACCTTCATAGTTCAGTTCGTACAGCAGAGGACTGTAAGAAGTTCCTGAAACTCTGTGGGCCAAAAGTCGCTGGTTCAACTCCAGCTCTAAACACCAGATTTCATTAGTGTATGCACTGTTCAACCTTTTTCATTGACCATGTAGCTGTAATTGTTGTGTTGGAAAAGTGTGTCGTCTCAGCCACTATGTTTTCTTCGGTCATGTCTATAAGCACCTTCATAGCTCAGTTGTTAGAGCAGAGGACTGTAAGAAGTTCCTGAAGATCTATGGTCCAAAGGTTGCAGGTTCAACTCCACCTCCAAACAGCAGATTTCATTGGTCTATGCACTGTTCAACCTTTTTCATTGACCATGTGGGTCCAATAGTTATGTTGGCAAAGTGTGTCGCCGAAGCCACTATGTTTTCTGCGTTTGTGTCTATAAGCACCTTCATAGCTCAGTTGGTAGAGCAGAGGACTGTAAGAAGTTCCTGAAACGCTGTGGTCCAAAGGTCGCAGGTTCAACTCCAGCTCCAAACACCAGATTTTATTCGTGTATGCACTGTTCAACCTTTTTCATTGACCATGTGGGTCTAATTGTATTGTTGGCAAAGTGTGTCGCCGAAGCCACTATGTTTTCTGGGTTGTTATCTATAAGCACCTTCATAGCTCAGTTGGTAGAGCACATGACTTTAAGAAGTTCCTGAAACGCTGTGGTCCAAAGGTTGCTGGTTCAACTCCTGCTCCAAACACCAGATTTTATTCGTGTATGCACTGTTCAACCTTTTTCATTGACCATGTGGGTCCAATTGTATTGTTTGCAAAGTGTGTCGTCTCAGACACTATGTTTTCTGCGGTCATTTCTTTTAGCACGTTCATAGCTCAGTTGTTAGAGCAGAGGACTGTAAGAACTCCCTGAAACGCTGTGGTCCAAAGGTCCCTGGTTCAACTCCAGCTCTAAACACCAGATTTCATTGGTGTATGTACTGTTCAAGCTTTTTCATTGACCATGTGGGTCCAATAGTTATGTTGGCAAAGTGTGTCGTCTCAGCCACTATGTTTTCTGCGGTCATATCTATAAGCACCTTCATAGCTCAGTTGGTAGAGCAGAGGACTGTAAGAACTTCCTGAAACGCTGTGGTCCAAAGGTTGCTGGTTCAACTCCAGCTCTAAACACCAGATTTCATTGGTGTATGCACTGTTCAAGCTTTTTCATTGACCATGTGGGTCCAATAGTTATGTTGGCAAAGTGTGTCATCTCAGCCACTATGTTTTCTGCGGTCATATCTATAAGCACCTTCATAGCTCAGTTGGTAGAGCAGAGGACTGTAAGAAGTTCCTGAAACGCTGTGGTCCAAAGGTCACTTGATCAACTCATGCTCAAAACAACATCTGATCTTTATTATCATCACGATTTTTTTGGTATTTCTTTAAACTGCTCGTTTTAAAGCATTGGTACTAAAAACTTCAGATACTAGAGATTAGTTCTACATTTTATTACCATATTTTCAACCCAAAATAAACAAATCGTCCCCCTCAGGGATAATGAAGACACTTTAAATGTAAACAGACGATGTAAATGTAGATGATACGATTGCTGCTTTGGTCTGGTGGCTGCAAAGCTATTTGTGGCTTAACTGCTGATGCTACTTGTGCTGTCAGCAGTGACAGGCTGTGCAGACTCCACTCACATTTTCATGCTTTCTGCATAAACACTTAGGAAGTACTTCTTCAAATGATTAAACAGATTTGATGTGTGGCCAGTTTTTGAGGGCACTGACCACCAACATACCTTGCACATGGGCGTAATTGCTGGACGTCACTTTGGAGATATCCAAACCACAGCACCACCACACGACCGACGTTGATGAACTTTTCTTCTCAACGATGGCATCTTCAGAGGATGACTCAAAGTCATGGCTGACATCTATTTTGCTGCCTCAGCTCCGCGCTTAGCTTCACGTTCGGTCATTCTGTTTACTTCTCCTGTTTACTTATCTGGCAACTTACAGAAGTGAGCAGGAAAAGCTTGACTCTGGTTGGCTGTTGTCACACACATTTGATCGAGTAAATATGCTCACAGTTGATCACCGTGATCAACCTGAAATTTATCACGGTCATTAATCAGGATCACATAATCGCCCAGTCCTAATGGACATCCAATATTCGTATAGCCGTGTAAAAAGTAACACCCATAAGCTTCATCTTACCTTATTTTTTTTGCCAAATTGAAGCAATTCAGTAAAGTTTGAAT